TTTAACTAAACTCCTCACGTCTCTCACCACGTGAACCGGAGCTCTGACCCCGCCTCCTCCTGTCTGATGACCCAGAGGCAGGACAGGTGATACCTCCGCGTTCTTCTTCAGGTTTTTCTGTTCCACCTGCATCTTTTTCGACAGCACGTTCTTAATGAGGCAGGATGCCATCTTTGTTTTGGTTTCATCCAGAGAGAACGACTTCTGAAGACGCTGAGAGTTTCCTCCAATCAGGAGCCCTGAAACCATCAGAAACTTCATCAAACTCAGATTCTTCGTCTTTCATCATCAATAGAACAAAAACAAAGACGTGTATTAATAATAATAATACTCAGTAGTAGAGTTGCACCTCTTCGACAGACATGTTGAGGCAGCATTTGAAGCTTTGGTTTTCATGGCTTGCGGCGCACATTAACTGTTTTCTTCATGCAACCAATAGAAATGCAGAACGTCAGGGAGCGGGCATGTATACTCATGAAGACCCCGACAATGATGCAGTACAGGCAGAACACAAACTTTGAGCTGCATCCTCAGTGAAGCACGTGTCGCGTCTATTGTGAATCAGGGATCTCAATCATGCAAAAATCCTTGTAAATCATATCCTACCATCATTTAACTCAAGGCCATGACTTCATGTCTGTACTTGAAAACGAGACTGTAGTCTCAATGAGACTTTTACCTGCATAAATAAAGGACTGATGCGAAAGGAAAGCTCTCGTTAGACACAGTCAGACACTCTGGAAACACCACATTTAGTTGTAGTGTGGAAGTCGTGAAGTCTGACGGGCTGTGATCCAATATCATGCTGTGCTACCCGGTGATTGAAGTTTTATCCACTGAAAATCAGAATATTAAATTATTTTCTTAGAGGTTTTCTTCTAAGGTTAGGGTTAGGTTGGAGGACCAACGGGTTCGAGCTAAGTTCTAGTTTCTGAGATTTTCTGCAGTTTGCAGGGAACTATGTAGCAGTGTGTGAGACTGTTATTTGACACTCAGGCCTCTCTGCTATGGCAACCCACGGCACAGCAATCACACCAGCGTGGTATCAGCTTGAGTCTATTCAGATGTGTGTAATCAGTGCACAGCTCAGCAAAGAAAGCGCCCCCCTGCCCCCCCTCGTATTTCATGTGCGAACTACAACCCCAGTTCCAAAAAAGTTGGGATGGAGCAACAAAGGCTGGAAGAGTAAGGCGTACTAAACAGAGACAGTCAGAGATTTCAGAGCTTATCAGGTCAGACATGGTCGGGTACAAAGACATCTCCACTCTGCTGGAGTCTACACAGCTGAGTGTTTATTTTTTGTTCTTTTGTGTATAAAATGTGTGTTAATGAGATTTGTAAGTTGTTGCATTTCACACAGTGTCCCAACATTTCAGCATCGGGGCTGTTTTTGCTTTCTGCGTTCGCCAACCGAAGCCAGCATGCCGTTAGCTAATGACACAAATCAGCTGAGTGGGAGTGTTTACTTCCTGTCACTTCCTGATTAAATACATGCATCCCTCTGTTCAGGGATCTGATTGGTGGATACAAACTAGTTTCTCTTCATCATGGAAAGGATCCTGTGATCATCCCTCTCTGCTTTTGTCCAAACTGATAACCTGAACCAGTGAATATGATCAATAACAGTTTATTTTTTCAGTGCTCCCCAGGGTGGCGGGTGGGCGGTCCTTACTGACAGAAACAGGGAGCTTGTTGACAGGTAGACGTGCTGTTACCTTGGCCAGCCCCTGCAATCAGGCCCTTGTAGACCCCGTAGCTCTCAGCATCACTGCTAGTATTTGAGGTGGCGTGAAAGGAGGTGGGCATACTGTGTTGCCGTAGTAACAGTTCAGGCCGTGATCGAGTAGTGGGACACAGCAGCTCATTAGCTGACGTATTATTGTTAATTCCTCTGCCCTCAGCAGGAACATCCTTCAGTATCACCTGGACAGGTAGACCAACAGGTGAGCAAACAGTTAAACTGGCAGAAGACATACCTGTAGTTTATCAGTGTTTACCTGTTCAGCGCCATCCTCGCCGTCCTTCTTCTTCTTCTTCTTCAGGTGAATCTGCCGTTTAGGCACCATCTTTAGCCCCTCCGCATCCTGACCTTTCACCTGGACGACAGGAAACAAACGCTGCTGGTAAAGATGAAACTAGGCCCCACACGTACGTTCATCTAACCAGCTGATGATGATGATCGCTCACCTGTGTCTCTATGGTGATGTCAACACACTCAAAGCCACTCTCTGGATCAGACGTTTCATCGTCTGATTGGATGAGGACAGAGGGAGAGAAGTGGAGTGAGAGATCTTCCTCCGACCAGTCGCTGACACTCCCTTCGTCTTCCTCTTCCTCATCTACCTCGGAGCGATGGGTGGAGCAGAAGTCCAGGTAATCTGGCTCGCTCTCACCTGTGCAGGTGAACTCAGAGCTCTTGTCTGCAGGAACTGGAGAACAGCGTGGAAGGATTTGTGCCTCAGCAGTTTGATGAGGCAGCACGTCGACTTCAGAGCAGCGGTGAGCGCTGAGGAAGATGCCCCGCCCTCTTTCTCTTTTTGCTGTGTCCTCGTGGCCGCTCATGATTGTGTCTCTGGAGGACGCACAAACAAACATGGAGACATTAATGAAGCAGTTTGAATGAAATGATGATTTCCCACTGAGTCCACGGTGCTCCATGATTTAATCCCACTCAGTTCTACTGATCCACGATCGCCATCCAGGGAAAACCCTCAATCTTAAATCCATGAAGCGGACCCGGCTGCTCGGGTCATTATTAAACTAAAGCCGTCCTGCCCTGTGATAGTTCCTCCAGAGCTGGGGTTCAGAGGTGATTCAGACAATCAGGCAGACGTACAGAGGCCGGCCGAACACGTGATACCTGCCGTCTGAGGAAGGCTGGGACAGGTACGCAGTGCTTCCCTTTATCAGCTCGCTGTCACACTGCGGCGATTCGATTAACAACAACAACAACAATCTTTATTTATAGAGCACATTTAAAAGCCTTGGGCATACCAAAGTGCTTTACATAAAACAATAAAAAATAAAACAGTTCACACATTAATATCAAATACATAAAGGTAACGAATTATGTTCACAGATAAAAGCCACCAATAAGAGTAAACTGCAGCACATAGGTTATAGCGAGGTAAGACTGTACCACCATGATAAAAGACACCAGTAATGGAAAGATAGCAGAGAATTTAATACAATAGGTCAATAGGTCACTGCAAGCAAGCCAGCATTTAACTGGTAGAAAAGGCAAGTTTAAAAAGATATGTTTTTAGCCGTGATCTAAAAGAATGAATAGAATCAGACGCTCGGATGCCAATCGGGAGATTGTTCCACAGCTCTGGTGCAACTAGAGCAAACGATCGATCACCTCTAGATTTCAGTCGAGATCTGGGCTGAACCAGCAGTAACTGTGAGGATGACCTTAACGCCCTAGCAGGAGCATATGGGTTTAAAAGTTCCTTAAGATAGCTTGGTGCAGTGTTATTGGTAATTTTAACAGTAAACAACAAAATTTTTAAATTGAATACGATATTTGACAGGCAACCAGTGCAGATCAGCAAGGACAGGAGTAATGTGGGCAAACTTCTTGGTTTTAGTTAGAATGGGTGCTGCAGCATTCTGAACTGTCTGTAATCTATGTAAAAGGGAAGAGTGGAGACCACAATAAAGTGAATTACAATAATCTAGCCTTGACGTTACAAAGGCGTGGATGAGCTTTTCTAGGTCTTTATACGGGATATAGTGCCTGGCCTTAGAAATAAGGCGAAGCTGGTAAAAACTGGATCTGACAACAGCAGACACTTGTTTATCAAGTTTAAATGAGCTGTCAAATAAGACACACAGATTCCTAACAGTGTCAGCGAAAGAACTAGTGAGAAAACCAAAGGCATCCCGAAGTTTGGCACGAAGGGCATTACTACCAAAAATCATAATTTCGGTTTTCTTATCATTAAGGATAAGAGTATGACGTATGAAGTATAACGTAAAGAGGGATCAAGAACCTTACTGAAACTGGCAGATCTGAGTAATAACTGCAGGTAAAATGGAAACGTGGCTTTAAAATGTAACCTGTGATGCTGTATGCTGATCATCATTTATCTGATTTAAACATGCAGAGAGAAGCAGAGTGAAGCTCTGCACTGATGATGCGCGCGTTTACCTGAATGATGAAGCTGAAACATCAATGATTTAAATTTTACAGCTGAAAACTGTTTTACACTTACAGCTGGAACAAGTGCCAAATATTTAGAGGAAGAAATCAGGTTCAGTCATGAATAATAACCCAATAAGTGAGTGTTAGCATGTCCTTACCTGAAATCAGCTTAGCATTAAACTACCGACAGCACCGGGACCAGAATCAGGATCATGTCCTGCTGTCAAACATTCAAGGTCAAACTTAGTTCGGACTTCTCCGGGAGAGCCTAGTCCTGGTTCTGGTCCTGGTCCTGGCTCGGGTTAAAGCCGAAGGGTGTGTTCCTGGTCCAGGAGGAGTGTTCAGGCTCTCAGTTTAAATCCAATTAAATGAAATTTTCAAAGTTTTCAGACTCAGAAATGTGGCTGAGAGAAAGTTTTGGAGCAGCGGGTGAGTTTGATGTGAACACCAGCTCAGTGTGGGGCGACCCACAGCACCTGTGGGAGTGTTGCTGACAGGCTGCAGAGAGAGCGAGAGATAAACAGAGAGAGCGGGGCGGTGTCGGGCTGCAGGTTTCTATTTCAGGAGGTGAGTGACAGACGAGGCTGCAGCTCTGTGCACCGGCTCTGACCCGGGGGGTCACACAACAACCCACACAGCAGAGTGAACCTGTGCATGTGAAGACTGTTCTCCAAAGGCTTTTGTGCAGTTCATGAATCCTTTGGTGTGTTACACTGTGCAGACTCTGGTCTCCACTGTGATCCTACAGTTTAGAACAGGCTGATGAAAGCAGTGGCACTTCCCCTAATTAGAATTATTTTACTGAAATATGTTTATGCTAATCAGGTTAAAAGGACCTATATCCGTGCAGATTTTGATGATTAATGAGATTTTTACTCGTCGTTCTGTCAGTAGGAACGACGTGGCTGCAGGCCGGGGATCGGTCTGCCCCCGCCGGCCATGAAAGCAGTCAAACCTGAATCTGTTCACTTAGAAACAAACTGGTTTAATTAACAATTCAAGAGCTCTCGTCAGAGCCTGACCCCGAGTCTGATTTCGGTCACACTCCGCACCGCGTGGCGGTGGTAGAGCCACAAATCGACGTTTGTGTGAGCCGCTCACAAAGAAGAAGAAGCAGCGGAGCAGCACCGGGCTGTGACTCCGGGGAGTTTCCTGATCCTTGTGTGGGTTTCGTTGGTCCGTGGTTCGGTCCGTGCTGGTCCGGTCTGTCCGATGCCCGGTTCTGGGTCCGCGTGCTCGCAGGTGAGCTCTGCCTTTGAGTCTTTCTCGCTCAGCTGTGATGCTGACGCCGTTAGAGCCGCTCCCGGGACGGTTCCGACCCGTTGGCGAGGATCAGGACTCTGACTTGGGTCACCGAAGCTAAAGAAAAGCCTGTTAGCCTGTATGCTAACCGCTAGTGGCAGCGCGACAGCTGCTTTACGGCAAACAGCTGATCAGTCCGGAAGTGACCGAGACAGAAAGTGCGCATCAGAAAATCCGCGAGGCTCCGAGTGATAGGTACCTGATCAATAACTGATCCAGTGCACATATTCAATCAGAGATGAGCTGCGCAGGCGCAGAACTAAGGATTCTGTTCAGTCCGGGGCGCGTGCAGCTTGTTCAGGTAAAGCTCACCTGTCAGCAGCTAAATGCTAACTGCTAACGGCTCCCAGAATTCAAATACTACTTAAATACTGCAGTAAAACTTTATTTATAAAATAAACATACTGATTAAAGGAACTGATCTGGGTCTGCGCGTGCAGGGGGAGGGGTCTGCTCAGGTGTGTCACTCTGGTATACTGGCAGAGGTATGTTTATACCCGACTGTAGTACTCCCTATAGTACTGTAATACTCACTGTACTACGGTATGAAGTACTAACTGCAGTACTCTCCTAACTGTAGTGCAGTCTGTAGTACTGATGTTCCCAAACGAGGTGATGTCACAAGTGCTGACCTGTGCCACACCCTGCAGTTAGTGTCCAGACACACAACCATGTTCTTACCAAAGATGTTCTCTTATTATTAAAATGTAACAAGTCCATCTCAGCGGTTTCATTTGGTAGCTCTTGCTTGGCGTGCTTGTTGCTGGTCTCGTGTTGGCCTCAGGTAACGTGGAAGTGTTACCGTGCCAACTGTATGTGCGTGATAACAGCTGTAGACAGTCACTGCTCCCCAGACCTCACGTGTACGACGGTCAGACGCAGGCCCATCTACCTCCTGTGTGTTCACCGTATGCAGGATGGCTAACCCTTACCCTTACATTCCACCGGATGCTAATGCTAATTCAGCCCTTGGACACTTGGTAGCGTGGTGTTCCTCTGCCCTCTTCTCTTTACAGCACGGCTCAGCCAACCTGAGCAGCAGCAGCAGGCAGGTGTGCTAAGGTGTCCAACATGTCCCCGATCAGAAGACTCAGAGCTGCTGAGGGTGACGACACACCGGCAGAAGAGCCAAACCTCTTCACCTGTTTTGAGGCTACACCACCAGTGGCGGCTACACCCCCCGACTGGCCACAGCAGCCTCACCCTGTCAGTAGGGCTGGGCGACATGAGGAAATCTAATATGACCATGTTTTGGAGCGACATCAGAGACGTGATCTGTATCGCCACACGTTCTAACGTTGGTCCACCTCTGTGTTTGTTCTACTTTGATACAGGAAGTCAGAAAGAATTTAAATGTTTGAACCATCAGCTGCACAGTTTCAGCTTGGGAGGGGGGTCAGTGACGCATTCACAGAGTGTGGGAGAGAAAAACTCTCAATTGCATGCAGACAGATTATTGTTGCCATGGTAACCCATACTCTATGGTTACGATAAAGCCACGTTAACCATCGTACGTGGAAAACCCGCGATACATCACCCCGCCCTAGTCTGTAGTACTGTCTGTATTACTGACTCTGGTACAACTTGTAGTATTGTGTGTAGTACTAAGTACAGTACTGTCTTTCTATAGTACTAACTATAGTCCTCTGTAATACTAACTGTAGTACTGATGTGTGTACTCTTATGTACTCAGGAGGAGTTGCTGGTGGGGGCGCCACGCGTCCTGGTTACCGGGGCAACAGGCCTCCTGGGGCGAGCGGTGTGCCGAGAGTTTCACAGCGCCGGATGGACCGTCACTGGGACGGGATACAGGAGAGCCAGGCTCCGCCTTCTGCGCTGTGACCTCACAGACGAGGACGCCGTCAGAGGACTGCTACACGAATACAAGGTACTGCATGCAAGCTGTGTATTCGTACAGAGTACTTCGACAACAGTACTCGACTCCATGTGGTTCGTTGACCTTATTAGTGACCTCACAAGAGCCTCTAGGTCAGAGTCCACCTAGGAGACTTTCCTGAGCATTAACCCCGCCCCACAGATGGATCGAGTCACCTGTCGAATGTGACACGGTGACAGAGGGGGGTCCCTCATCACCTGTGTGTTTGACCTTCACGGTCACCATGGAAACCAGCTCCACATGCGAGCTCACCAAGTATCAGAGCTCATCACTCTGAGAGCTCACCTGGTGGAGTCGGGGAGAACAAGCACCTGGCTGCTGCTGCTGGGGGACGGCGAGGTGGGGCCACACCCCTTCTCAGGTGCTTGGGCAAACAGATACAGGAGTGGATCCATCCATGTTGTTCTGCTGGGCCGGGTCGCGGGGGCAGCAGCCTCAGCAGAGAAGCCCACACCTCCGTCCCCTCCACCACCTCCTCCGGCGTGTCCTGGGTCTGCCCCGGGCCTCCTCTGAGTGGGACATGTAGGAACTCCTCACCCTGTCTCTAAGGGTGCGTTCACACCGAACGCGATAGACGCGACCGGAGCTTCAGGTTTACGTGTAAAGAGGAGCGCGATGAAGCGCGACTGGGGGTCCCGCGAAACTTCAGAAGCAGATTTGCGTCACGAAAGCGCTTTTCTGCCTGATTTGCGCAACCAAGTAGTGCGACTGATGCGTTGGAAGCGCGAGGTAAAATGTGCGCTGCAGTTTGTGTGTTGCATGTTGTGCATTCGCGCTAATCGTGTCTCCCACTCGAGTTGGAAAAATCTGAACTCCAGCGTCAAGTCGCTGTAGTGACTGATGTGTAAAGCGTCCTTTTCGCCACTGCTCTGCTCTCTTCAAACGCTCGACAGCTGCCGTCTTGCAAACATACCGTCTGGCACTACTTCCTCCCACATTTCCGCTTCACACGCGTCAAAATTGAGTATTTTAAAGCGCGACCAGTTTGCTTTGGACGTGCTTCGAGGTGCGAATGTGCATGCGACCAGCTAGGGGCGTGTGGTGCTTTTGGTCACGCCTATCCTTCTGAAGGATGATGGTGTTTCTGGTATAGCACAACTTTATCCTTCCGGCAGCTCCCGGGGAGCCCTATGGGACATTCATATAGAGATCCTCCAGCTTAAAACTGCATCACCCTCCCAGGACCTGAAGCTCGGTAAAGCACCCCACCGACATTGAAACCATCTGTTCTCTGATTGGTCACAAATGTAACAATCCAGTCAGCTGAAAGAAAAAAAACTGGGTCAGAAGTCGTACTGGTCACTTGCAACGCACACAGCCAGGAAGCTGAGCGCAGTTTCACTGTAGTTTTGTGCTTTGTATCTGTTAGAAGACCTTAACAAAAACTATTTGTAACCTCTGTAAATGTTTTTAAAAACACACAGATTCTCATCTGTAGATGCACAAGCGTAACATTTTCAGATATTTTGGTTTACAAGATTACAAGATACATCTCAGTTCACAGCGACTCATTTGATTTACAGAATATGTCTGAGCCCAGTTTGAGCCCATAAGGAAGCTCATTTCTGCCGCTTGTATCTGCAATCGCGTTCTTTCGGTCCCCGCCCACGCCTCGTCACCATAGCTGAGGGTAGGGACGTAGATTGAGCGGTTTCACACTCTCTCTTAACCACGACGGTCCGGGACAGTGCTCGCATCACTGCAGCGGCAATCCGTCTGGCGATCTCCCCTCGCTTGTGATCAACGCCTCAACATACTTAAACCCCTCCACCTAGTAGCTCGTCCCTGACCCAGAGTGGGCGCTCAGAGTGGGCGCTCAGAGTGGGCGCTCAGAGTGGGTCCGTGGCCTCAGACTTGGAGGTGCTGACTCTCGTTCACACTGTGCTGTGAAACTGTGAGTTGGAGCCAGCAGAACCACATCGACTGTGAGAAGCAGAGACTTTAGTCCTGACACCGGCAGCTACACCCAGAAATCTGTCCATAAAATTATGCAGAGAATCGGTGACGGAGAACAGTGACGTGTCCTAGGGCTGTTCGATGTAACCATATATATCGGATGACGATATAAAAACGTCTATCGTTTCCTATCACGCTATCGTTTGTTTCGTGGTGTCGCAAAATAAACTGTTTACAGCAATATTTTTTCATGGTTCTGGTGTCACTGTAGGGGCTATATTCGTTTAAGTTCTCTCTTTCTCTTATATGTAATATAACCACACTACAGATGGACAAGTGCCTGTTTTTATGCGTTGTCATTAGCAACAGCGACGGTAACAGCATCGCGTGTCCGCTTGTTTATGTTCCACATAAACCTTTCACAATAAAGCTCAAGATCCTGTTGAGACTTTTCAAAATAAACTGAATCATGTGAAAGATGCAGATTATTTACGGATGAGAAGTAAAAAAGACGCCAGGTGCTAAAAGATAAACCTTAGACTCAAACGTTAGAGCAGGCTTTTCCCCGCAGCACGACGTGTAATAAATACTCACAAAGAAAACGGCGCCGTTACAACTGATGTCTAAAAATGTATCGTTTCATGCATCGTTAAAACACTCGACTCCAGCTACACGACGCACAGGAAACAGTGTGAAGTGGAAACACTTCACACAAGTCGAGCTGCCCGAGATTCACAGAATTTACAGAAACGTTACATTTTTGTGATTTATATCGTTACCGGGGCGATAGATGTCTGATATCGGGAGATGAGATTGTGGTCATATCGCACAGCCCTAACGTGTCCTTTGGTGTGTGTGGAGACGTTCACACACTGAGTTTAAAACACTCTTCACCTTACACTGGATGATTATCAGCTGGTGGAATAAACTGGAAGTACTTCTGCCTTTGGCTGCAGTAGTTTTACTGCATGTTTGACAAATGACAACATTTAGCTGGACATCCTGGTGAGGTCCAAACTCTCTCTGTGTGGTAGGATATAAACGCTCAGTGTGTCGGGGAGTCCCAGGTCCAGCTGGGATAACCACTCACATGTTCCTCTGCTTCCCTGGACACTGTGTCTGTGGGATGGTAACATCCCCAACCCTCACTCTGTGCTCTCCACGGGACTCAGCTGTACATCTGCATCTAAAGGTCAAAGTTCACTCTTTAAGGATCCCAATGTGCACATGTTGGACAGAGAAGACAGAGGAGTGAAAGAAGCGTCTATCTCCACTGTGAACAACCCTCTTTGGACAGAGGGCGGGGCTTATGACACTGTCCGCCATCTGTAGTCCAGTCTGACATCCTTCCCAGACGCCTTAACGCCCACTCACATCCTGGTCATATGACCTCAGCAAGTCACATGATAGGGTGGGCTAGGTCTCACAATGACCTACACCTTCTTCACACCTTGGCTCGTGTTATGGGTCACAGGGTCAGTAGTGGGTAAATGATCGTCCCACTGGGGACCCTCCCCCATCTTTGCCCACATCAGCGTGGGAGCGCTGCACCCGGGGACTCCAGGGGCGGGTACTCTGAGCTGAGCACAGACAACACTCAGGACCTGTTCCCCGACCCACGGGCGCAGGGAACAGACCGTCTCGTACAGGCAGCGGGCCGAGCGGTTACCAGGATACTGATCGGGTTTATGGTTGGTCAGAGGCTGTGAGCGAGCAGGTGCAGCTGCTGAAGGACGGACACGACTCACCTGTGAGTCAGCTGACAGGGTTCAGGCTGTTTGTAATGGTATGTTCTGGCATCACTAGAGACGGCACGATACCACTTTCTTATGTCCGATACCGATATGAATCCGATGTGTTTTAATCAATAAAATAGTTTTTTTAATATCTTGCTGCATTTTGTATAAGTTCAAACTCAAGTTAAAAAACACTGAAGCTATTCTGTTACACCTGTGTGTAAAAAACACACTGCACCCAAAACTGTCATAGATCAGCAAAACTGATCAATCTAATGAACTTAAACCTGCTCCATCCTCCCTATTCTGGTATTTTAAAGAGTAAGCAGCCTAACCAATAGGGCTGCAAACTCCCAGCAAAAACCCCCCAAAAAATAGGGAACCACCCCCCACCCTCCTCCCCATGATGCTTAATCAACGTAATCAACTTTAATTTGATGCAGTGTGAAAAAAAGATGCACAGAAATAAATTATTTTTCAAGAAATATTAAATAGATTCAACATCTTTTTTCTACAGAACTGCACAGATGGTTCCCAAAGGAAAAAGTACTATAGCTTACTAGGGTATATTAGACTTAATAGTTACTATATACAGTAATTGACTTCTATACATTTGACATCAGATTAAAACTTTGGGTATAAAAGTCAGATAATTATTTATTAAAAGCTCGACATTTTAAATGAGAATAAGAAAGAAAAGTATGTCTTTGTGCCCCCTTTTCCCTGTTAATGCCCTATCGGCCCCCTGGCTAAACTTTGCTAGATCCGCCCCTGCACAGTTACCAGCGTCAGCTACGTAGAAAAAGATCCTTGAGTAGAAAGTAATATTAAATAAATTCTAACAACAGCTGATCAAGCTTAAACGTGCTGCTGTTGTTCAGCCGCTGGTTTCCTCTTTCTGCTGCAAAGTGGGCCAAAAACAAACAAACAAACAAGACTCGCGACAGAAAAGCCGATCAGCTGATCATTGATCAGTTTCACATTGAAGTAGCAGCCGGAGAGAGAGAGAGAGAGGCAGTCGCTCCATATATCGGTTGATAAGCTTAACGCTGGAACGCTTTACAAACATTCAGAGATGAACTTACACACTTGCTTCACTTCTCTCTGGGAAAACTTCCTCGGAGATGAAATGCCGGATTGCTAGCGAGGCTACAAATACTCACAGCCGCTCTATCACGTGACCGCACTCCTCCGACGTGCTACGGTTATGAGCCGAGTTACGCCGTGTCGCAGGTTTGGTGAGGTGCTTTTTTGATGTTTAATGGATCGGATTACATTTTTTATTTCTCTCTGATATCCGATCCAGTGATTTAGGTCAGTATCGGACCGATACGTAATATCGATCGGTCCATCTCTCGTCATTACTGTAAAGCTGATGGTCACTAAATAAAGTTGTTTTGAATGTGTGTTTCAGCCTGATGTGATCGTCCACTGTGCGGCCGAGAGGCGTCCAGATGTTATGGAGAGACACACGGAAGCAGCTGTTAATCTGAACGTGCACGCCACGAGCACGCTCGCCAAGGAGGCAGGTCAGTGAGCCACCACACCATCACCAGATATTCTTTGGCCTGACACAGGTGGGGGCACGAGAAGGTTTGGGGGTGGAGCTCCTGTAGTGCGCATCAGAGCCCCGCCCCTTCACACATCACGCACCTTGATTTCAGTCCAGCTCTGTGTGAGCGCGCCTCCGTAACAGGTAACGTCTGTGTCTGCAGCCACCTGCGGGGCGCTCTTCCTCTACATCAGCACCGACTACGTGTTTGACGGCAGGAATCCTCCGTACGGTGAGGACGACAGTCCAAACCCGCTCAACGTTTATGGGCGGAGCAAACTGGAGGGGGAGAGGGAGACGCTGCGCCACTGTCCAGGTACGTCTCAGTCACCTGTCTGAGTCTTCTGTCTCTGGCCTGCCCGTCAGTCACCTGTTTGACCCGTGACCCTGCCAGGTGCGGTGGTACTGCGGGTGCCCGTTCTGTTTGGGGAGGTGGAGTCGGTGACGGAGAGCGTGGTGACGTCGTTGTACCTGAAGGTTCAGGAGGCGTCAGAGGAGAGCTGCACGCTGGATCACGTCTTGCAGAGATTCCCCACTGACGCCCGAGACGTCGCTGCCGTCTGCAGGAAGCTGTCTGAGAGAGCACGACAGGTGAGCGTCAGAGAGACAGGTGAGCATCAGGTGGACTTCGCTCTGCCCGTCTCACCGCCGTCTGCTTTTCCGTCAGGACCCGTCCATCAGAGGAATCTTTCACTTCTCTGGGAAAGAGCAGATGACTAAATATGAAATGGCGGTCGCCATCGCTCAGGCCTTCAACCTGCCGTCCGGCCACCTCATACCTGTAAGTGGTCACACACCTGAGCCGCCTCATACCTGTAAGTGGTCGCACACCTGAGCCGCCTCGTACCTGTAAGTGGTCCCACACCTGAGCCGCCTCATACCTGTAAGTGGTCCCACACCTGAGCTGCTTCGTACCTGTAAGTGGTCGCACACCTGAGCCGCCTCGTACCTGTAAGTGGTCGCACACCTAAGCCGCCTCGTACCTGTAAGTGGTCCCACACCTGAGCTGCTTCGTACCTGTAAGTGGTCCCACACCTGAGCCGCCTCATACCTGTAAGTGGTCCCACACCTGAGCCGCCTCGTACCTGCAAGTGGTCCCACACCTGAGCCGCCTCGTACCTGTAAGTGGTCCCACACCTGAGCCGCCTCGTACCTGTAAGTGGTCCCACACCTGAGCCGCCTCGTACCTGTAAGTGGTCCCACACCTGAGCCGCCTCATACCTGTAAGTGGTCCCACACCTGAGCCGCCTCGTACCTGACACAGCTCAGGCTGTAAAGCAGTGACGTGTTTTTCTGTCGCTCAGTATGTTTTAGCCCAACCACAGCTCTACAGCTTGTCACCAGAGTTTAATGTTCTCGAGGTCGTAGCAGTGCAACAACCAGCTGACCACGAACAGCAGCCAGGCTCTGATTGGTCATCTGCCTTAAATGGAGATGAAGTAAAGCCAGTTTATGTCTGTGAAGGTTCTCAGTCATCCAGGTCATCATAGTCAAAGGAGCTTGAAAAGAAAAGCGTCTGGACTTCTTTAAGTTGCTTGAAGACGTTTCACCTCTCATCCGAGAAGCTTCTTCAGTTCTAAGGTCAAATGGTGGAGAGTCCCAGATATAAACCTAGTGGGAGTTTCCCCCACAGAGGGACAAAAGGACCCCCTGATGATCCTCTAATCGCCTGAGCCAAGGTGGGAAACTGGGTGTGGGCCCCAATCAGCCAGAGTTTCGGGTGTGTTCATTGTGAAACCTGGCCCCACCTTATCATGTGATTTCCTGAGGTCAGATGGCCCAGGATGTGAGTGGGCTTAAGGTTAAACTGGTTAAAGCCAGTTTAACCCGCCTGCCTGCGCAAGGATGTAAAGTTATGACCTGAGGGCCTGCACACCTGAGGTGTCGATCTGTTATCTGGGTTCACCCCGACATGATGCCGATTGGCCGATTATCAATCAGCTTGGCACAGATAACGATCCCTGTGAGTGTCACCTGCTGAGTGTTTGCAGCAGAGCGACAGACAGCAGCGGCGCATCAGCACGTGAACACATCATGGTTCAGTCTGAGCTGCTGGAGCGGCAGCTGCGCTTCCTTCATGGTTTCCAGGACATCGTCCTGAAAGTGGCCAATCAGAGAAAAGTTTACTCTCTGACCTCCTGACCATTTCAGTTTATTCTCTCAGCTGTTTGTAAAGATCACATTTACAGACAGGATTCAGACATCGGCTCGGTCCACGAATCTGATCTGAGGTCAGCAGGTACAGCGCAGGTGTTCCACTGATGCTTATAGAGCAATAAAGCTGATAAAGTTTTATTGATATTATTATGGTTATTATTATTATCATTGTCATTACTGCTCATCGGGGAAACACAGACCCCGCCCCTTTCCCCACAGAGCTCTGAGGGGCTTCAGGAATGGCGATGCTGTTTTCTGAGGATCTGATTGATCTATAGGTGTTGATGTCATACCTGATAATCTCTAATCTTCAGAGCAGGTTTGGCTCATAGCATAGGTTACCATGGCGATTTACCCCAGTAAGAGTGATCCACCTTTGTAGTCCAGAAAGCCAGAGTTAACCTGAGGTTAGCTGCTTCGTGGTGCGTGGCTCGTTTTGAATCTTTTCATAATCAGCAGGACTTTGCACTCATTATAAACAAACTGTATCACCTGTGGTCCCGACCCTGTCTGTGTTCTTGCAGCTGACCGAGCAGCCGGCGGCGTCGGCTCTTCGTCCAATCAACAGTCAGTTAAACTGTTGTCGTCTGGAGCTGCTGAACCTGAGCGTGGAACCGCGACCTTTCACCTCCGCCATTATCGACTGTCTGTGGCCGTTCACGCCCGACAAACGCTGGAGACAGACCGTCTTCCACTGAGACGACTGGATTAGCAGCGAGCCGGATGTACAGATTATTTAGTCTTTGTGCCCCAAGTCCTGTCTGCAAGCTCTGCACTGCTGATAGTATTAACAGGTCATAGTCCTGCACCAGATTATACTCGGACGTTACCAGATTACAGTCAGAATAATGTTCTGGGTTGAGTGTTGTTAATCCCTAATTGTTCATGTCTTGTGTCAGTGTTTGCATAGATTCACTTTATATCAGTGTGAAGAAGCTGAGTGTGCTCTGTAAGATTCACACTACACTTCAGTGTGTTCTGACAACAAAATGTTACATATTATATCACCACCTCCAATCTTCACTCTAATCTGGAATTTATTGGGTTAGTCCAGACGCTGTTAGTTTAACCTGGTCTCTGTTAGTTTAATCTGGACTCCTTTAGTTTAATCTGGTCTCTGTTAGTTTAATCTGGTCTCTGTTAGTTTAATCTGGACTCCTTTAGTTTAACCTGGACTCCTTTAGTTTAATCTGGACTCTGTTAGTTTAATCTGGACTGTTAGTTTAACCTGGTCTCTGTTAGTTTAATCTGGACTCCTTTAGTTTAATCTGGACTCCTTTAGTTTAACCTGGTCTCTGTTAGTTTAACCTGGACTCCTTTAGTTTAACCTGGTCTCTGTTAGTTTAATATGGACATTGTTTTTGCTGTATGTATGGGACCTGAATAAATACCGGTGATTTTTATGTTTGAAGTTCAGGTTTAATCAGGAAGTTTGAAGTCGACCCCAGATTAAATCCGACTCGGTAAATGTCCTGCTGTGACAGGACATTGTGTGTGTTTCTGCTGTAAACGACACCTCAACATTAAATACGTGAAACTGTCAAGCCTCAGTCTTTCATTGTGAAGGTTATCCTCCTCCTCCTCTTACCTGTCAGGTCACTCACCTGTTCTTCAGCACTTGGTGAACATCTGAAACTTCCTGAGAGCATGTCTGAAAGAGGATGTTGCCATCAGGGAGCGTCGACTGTAGCATTTCAGGTACAGTAGTAAATCCACAGTGAGTATTTAAAGATGATGGGTGTGGTTTAATATATGGGGTCAAAGGTCACCGGTTACAAACAACAGTTGGCTGAAGACTCTCAGCTCGGATAAAATTATTATAGAATAGAATAGAATAGAATAGAACAGCCCTTTCTTGTCACTGGACACGTAGAACAAAGTTATGGTGCTCCACAGCAGCTGTGAAGGAGTAACAATTATAGATGCATCTATACAAAACAAGGCCTCGATCAGAAGTACCGGACTCTCGGGTATAATTCTGCCTCCTGTGTGAAACAAAGCAATGAATGGTAAATGGCCTGTATCTGTATAGCGCTTTACTCGTCGCTTTACACATCCAGTCATCCACACATTCACACACTGGTGATGGCAGCTACATTGTAGCCACAGCCACCCTGGGGCGCACTGACAGAGGCGAGGCTGCCGGACACCGGCGCCACCGGGCCCTCTGACCAGCACCAGTAAGCAACGGGTGAAGTGTCTTGCCCAAGGACACAATGACTGTTCAAGCCAGGCTCGAACCGGCAACCTTCCGATTACAAGACGAACTCTTGAGCCACTGTGTTGCCCTGAAGTTATAACTTTGCTGCTTCTGCTGGCTGAAGTTAATAACTTAGCAGATGTTGATTTGTGTGACGATGTATGTTTGACTGTAGTGGGAAGGTTGTGTCATGAGTCGCTGTGTGGCAGGCAGGAGTTGGACCCAAAATGCAGGCACTCAGGCATGAGGTTTAAACACAAAAAAACTCAGCTTTATTTGCTGGCAGGGGAAAGTCATAAAACAGCAAACTAAACTGGGAACTCATAAACAAAACTCACAGTGAGACACAGCGCGATCCACACAGCATGAGGGACGACGCGACACTGACTCAGAGAAACACAGGGTTTAAATACGCTGGGAAGTAACGAGGGGAATGAGACACAGAAGGAGGGCACAGCTGGGAGAAATCAGGACTGACGAGACAAGGAAGCGTAACCTGAACACACTGAGATAAGACAGAGACCTTCAAAGTAAAACAGGAAACACATAACACAGACTGAACAAAGACACAGACTCACATTCAGGCACTACAACAGAGGGAACAGAGGTGGGACCAGGGCAGACACTGACACTGACTGGACACGGGGATATAGCAGACAGGGGAGACAGCAACTAAGGATTACACAGAGACAAACCATAAGACATGACTCTAACAAAAACCCAAAGACTAGAAATTATAAATAATATAATAAACTCAAAAACCCTGGGTCAACGACACAGGTGGACGTCACGTGTGCGCTGGAAAGCAGTCTGTGTAATTTCACTGCTAATAATACCGTGTAGTTGTATTCTTTACTACACTGCAGTCATTTGTCGGCTGTTTAAGCTAACGTACATATTTGCAGTTTAATGGTTGTCGTGTTGTTTCTGATGAAATAGCTCATGCATGTTTGTTTTACCTGTTTGACCACCTGCCTATTGTTGCCTGATGCTAACAGACTGCTGTCAGTGCTCGATGGAGTTCATCTGCACGGTCACATCCACACCAGTGCTCCCAGTAGAAACCTGTACAATGGTTACAGCTGAAACTACCACACCAGCTTTATTTATAAAGGACTTTAACATAAAACCAGGGTTCACAGAGTGCTGTACATATACAAAGGCATAAACAACAAAAATTAAATACATGGTAATGCTGCAGAGCAGCCAGCAGGTGGAGCTCTCAGGAGGTCAGAGGTCAAAGACATTCCTCACACACTGAGCTGCTCAGGTTACCTCTCTGTCCTCCTTCACACACACACCTGAGGCTCAACCTGTTTAAACCCACGAAGAAGAGTCTCTCTCACACACACACACACACACACAGGTGAGCCACACCTGTGCCGGTCTGACTGGTGAGACTTCACTGTAAAACTGTCAGAGTTGGATCAGCTGACTTAAAGGAGCCTCACCTGTTCTCACCTGTGTGTGACACGGAGTCGTGCTCAGGCTGCACCGAGGCTCCAGCGGCCTTTAAAAGTTGATCACATCAGGAGGCCACACGTCTGTTCATACACACCAAGTGTTCATGTAACGTGTCGCACTGAGAACGCCGCCCTAAACACGCACACACACAGGGTGGATTTAACGCTCTGTGTTTATGAGTGCAGGTGGAGCCGCAGCTCGATGACGTCACGCACACACAGCACACGCTCACAGCTCAGACAGGTAAGCAGGCACGCAGGTGACTGAGGTCCCGATCCAGAGGAGCTGACGGACGCCAAGGTAACAACTGCTCTGTGTGTGTGAGTGTCCTGTAGTCTCCATGAACAGATCAGCAGAGAGTCAAAGAAACTGTGTGTTTCACTCTGACTTACACCGAGGTTTGTTGACGAGCTCGGCTTTGTCGTGTTTAAATGCAGACATTTTACTGTGAAACTGAAGTTCCTCTCTGCGTTCCTCCTGAGGAGGAGCTCGTCCTGAAGTCAGACTCTCCCTGTTTCCTCTGAAGGCGTCACACAGCTGTGCGCTCACAGCTGGATTTGAGCACTCTGACTGTGACATCTCTAATCACTGATGCTGTCTGACCTGGCGCTACACCGGGTCATGTGACTGGCTTGTGTCATTAAAACATCTGTTCTGAGCTGCTGAGCAGAGGGAATCATGGGAGTGTTTCATGTTTGTAATGAAAGCTTTCCTCTTCGTTCTCGGCGAGCAGCACGATGCTCGCCGTGTTCCCTTCACTGGAGCGCACCGCCTGTCAAACTTGTGACGTGCCCGCTGTGATCTCACTAGTTTCAGCTTCAGAGTGAAACGTGAGGTCGGAGGCTCCACGTTCAGGTCAAAGATAATTGCCTCCATCCAAACGAGGATTGTTAAAAACTCCTCTGATCAGCTTCTGAATGAAAACCAATCACAATGATCAGATCACTAACGGCTCTTCCTGTCCAGCAGATGTCTACTCCTCCCATCCCGAAGCCTCGCCGCTGTTACTCGACAGGAAATCGAAGCTCCACCTCCTCACTGGGAAGGTCAGATAATCTTTAAATCTGCCAACTATAATGAAATCTGTGCTTCAGTCTCATTTCACTGATTTCATATCTCGCTCACACGGAGAGACAGCAAATCAGCTCAGAGTCCAGCCTGAGTTAGGATTTATTTTGGAGGGACAGTAAACAGGAAGTAGAGGTGGTGGTGTGTGGTACTGCAGAGTTTAGTGTGGATGTGGTCGAGTGTGTTACTGATACTGTGTCGGAATCATAATCGTACGGTTGCATGAAACAGACGACACAAACGTCTTCACACGTTTGAGCTCAGCTGTTTTGTTCCCAGTTTGATCATCTGAACGTAGTCTGTAATCAGATTACAGTAGCAGCTGGGTTCACATATAACACATCAGTCATGGCTGCGACCTCTGACCTCTGAGCCGCGGTCTGTCTGAGGTGTTTCCTTCGTCCTCTTCTTTTGCTTTTTCTTCTCCTCGCTCTCTTGTGTCTTTGTAGAAGGTGGAGTTGTTGTCACAGCTGTGACATCACTGCTTGGTCATGTGACCACAGGACAACCAATCACAGCAGAAACTGAGTCCTAACGTTTGTGTTTCAGTGCCAAGGCTGAGGGAACTCTACAGCCAGCAGTTCAGAGTCCAGGTACACACACACACACACACACACACACACACACACACACACACACACAGACACATAGATACACACGCACACAGACTCACACACACACAGACACATAGATACACACGCACACAGACTCACACACACACAGACACATAGATACACACGCACACAGACACACACACACACAGACACATAGATACACACGCACACAGACTCACACACACACACAGACACATAGATACACACGCACACAGACTCACACACACAGACTCACACACACACAGACACATAGATACACACGCACACAGACTCACACACACAGACTCACACACAGAGACACACACAGACACACACACACACACACACACACACACACACACACACACAGACACACACACAGAGACACACACAGACACATAGATACACACGCACACAGACACACACACACACAGACACATAGATACACACGCACACAGACTCACACACACAGACTCACACACACACAGACACATAGATACACACGCACACAGACTCACACACACAGACTCACACACAGAGACACACACAGACACACACACACACACACACACACACACACACACACACACAGAGACACACACAGACACATAGATACACACGCACACAGACTCACACGCACACAGACACATAGATACACACACACACAGACTCACACGCACACAGACACATAGATACACACACACACAGACTCACACGCACACAGACACATAGATACACACGCACACAGACTCACACACACAGACTCACACACACACAGACACATAGATACACACGCACACAGACTCACACGCACACAGACACATAGATCACACACACACAGACACACGCACACAGACACACACACACACACACACACACACAGAGACACACACACACACAGAGACACACACACAGACACACACACACAGACTCACACACAGAGACACACACACACAGAGACACACACAGACACACAGAGACACAGAGACACACACACACAGAGACACACACACACACACACACACACACACACACACACACACACACACAGACACATAGATACACACACACACACACACAGAGACACAGACACACACACAGAGTAGAGAAGGCACAGGGATGTGAAATTGACCTTACACGGTGGGCTGTGTGGAGCCCACTCTAGATCACAGTGGGCTCTAGATCACAGTGGGCTCCACACCAGTGAAACTGCTCTGTAACACCGGATCCCTGAGATGCTCATCCAGGAGAAAAACAGTCGTGTAGGTGGTTTCTGTCCTTTCATTGTTTATCAGTTAGTAATGTCTTTGGCGTGTGTGAAGGGCCACAGTGGAGGTAAGGCTCTAACACAGGTAACAGTTATAAATCTCTGCTCTCCTTCACATTTTCCAAAGACATGCAGCAGACTGGACTGGTTCTGGCCCCCGGGCCTTATGTTTGACACCCCTGAAACAGAACAGAGCATGTGTGTGACGTCCTTACTGCTCCTGATCCATGATGACACTTTGGTTCGGTCCAAACCTGCAGCAGGTCTGAGTGAGCGAGAGGGTTCCTTTAAGATGCAGGAAAGCCTGAAATCACCCTGGAATCATCTTGGAATCATCTCCTCTCTAACCAACACAGTCAGTCTTACACTGCTGAACCCCGACGATACAGTGATGATGATTCAGCAGACTCTGGGATCAAATGCTAAGAACTGAAGATGGTCCAGCTTCTTTCAGCTCCTACAAAGAGGACGACTTCATCAAACACACGAGACACGAAGGAAAGAATGAAACAGGAGGTTAAACACAAACATGTGAAGACCTGAGCATCCAAACAGGAAGTGAGAGACCAAAATAAAAGCTGCAGGACCTCGTCAGTTTCATCCTACCAGTCAGCTGCTGGCGTTTTTTCAATGCGAGCCGGTGAACCTGTTTGTTCGGGCGAGGGAAACTCCTCCCACTGTTTGTTCAGATATCACAAGTGATTATCTCAAACCAGTTTGTCTTCCTGTGGTAATCAGATAATCTCTGTAAAGATCGCGTCACGTCATGTCCCGGGCTGCTCCGACCAGATCACTTCAAAGACGGTGGAAAAATTCACAAAGTGAGACTGTGTTGGTCGTCCTTCTACTGCCCCATAGAGCTCTGCCCAGGAAGCTTTTATTATGAAAGTGTCTCTCCAGGGAACATTACCAGACTCTTACTCTGAAGGACTCTTTCATGAAGCTCCCCATGCTGTCACACTTATTGTGACATTCCAGTGTATTATTAGATGACTTACTCTGAAAGCCCCTGTAATTATATTGCAGGTGTTATTATTGAGAAAGTATCACTAATATTGCTGACCTTTTATTGTGATAGTCTTTTTCACTGTTCTCTAAACGTAAAAGTCTAAATGAAAGTTTAGCATTTTTATTGTGAATCATCATTTGGTATTACAAGACTCTTATTGTGAAAATGTCAGTGATCTTTATTGAAGTCTTATTGTGAAAGTTTCTGAGCTTTTTGTTGTGAAATAATGATGAAGCTGATGTCATGTGTCCTCCTCAGATGAAGATGCTCACAGTGCACTGAGTCGTAGCCTCACCTTGCCAACTCTGGACGGCGTCACTGGCGTGATCGCCACCAACATCCCGTCACTGGCAGGAGTCGCTGCTTCCATTGGAGGCTCCGCCCCTGGAACCCCTCCACACCCTCTGCTCCCCCCTCCTTAGACAGCATAGCTAATAGCATTACCACCCACATACCTGACTTAGCAGAAGCTGCTAGCACTGAGGCTAACCTTGCGTCATTCAATCCAATGCCACCTGGTGCTAACACAGATACTGCTGTGCTAAGCCCCGCCCCCTCCACCACACCTGCACCTGCTCCAAGCTTGGACAGCATTTTTAACTCACTGGCTAACATTCCCAGCTTTGCGGGGTTTGTTAGCAGTGTGGGTAACCCTGCTGTGAGCTTCTCTCCATCAGCCCCACCCCTCCCAAATACTAAACCCCACCCACCCTCGCTGACGGGAAGTGGAGCTGGAGATGCTCGTACAGGTGCAATGACAGGTACGACCACCAGAAAAAGGACGTTTGTGTGTAATTTTTATATAAACATCAGGAGGGTATGATCCACAGTTAGAGTGCAGCTTCACTTCCAGCTGGTAGAAAGTGTCAGGAGGTCAGGTGCAGGTGATCACCTGAGGTGGTGCACAGCTTTAGGTCACCTGAACGTTAAACATTCTGCAAGCTTAAGAGGATTCAGCCCTTTCTGAGGGTAAGAAGAACTAACACATGCTCTTTGTGTTCCTCTGAACCTGTGTCCAGATGTTGGAGCGCTGTCACAGCTGGTGACATCAGCTTTAGACCCGACTGCTGCAGTCACGCTGCCACCTGTAGAGGGTGCTGCAGGGTTAACAGGTGAAGGTACTGTTAGTATTTCTTCTGCTGGGCTTCTTCCCACTGGCTTCCAACTGCTTCAGTTTTTCCTGGTTCTGGTTCCAGTTTTATCTCCAGGTCCTCATAGCACCAGAGCAGAAAACCCGTCGGACACCACGTTGGCCTGCTGGACGACCCAAGAGGAAGCTGAATCTGAGTCATCCAATGAGGAGGAAGAATCAGGTGTTAGCCCCGCTCCTTCTACAGCTGAAGCAGATCCTCGTTCTGCCCCGACGACCAACAATGACAAGTGTGTATGGTTACTGTGAATTCAGACCGTTCTCACTCCCGAGGCGTAACATCCTGATGTTTTGTCAAGTCGTGCGGCGTTCCTGAGGAACGCGAAAGGTGACCTTCCGTGTTCATATGGTACACGCCGGGTTATGGATGAAATCCAGTGACAGTCCTGCGGAAACAGACGTTCCAGCCCTAAACCTAACCTTATCCTTAACCATAACCTTGTTCCTAACCCTAACCAGCACTTTAATGACGTTAAATAGTGTTCTCCCAAGCGATTTTAGGAAAATGAACGAACATGTGTAGATTGAGTCCAAACGGTTCTCATACTATCTCATATTATATTTAGGAAAAAACGTAATGTTGACGGTTTGTCACCTGGCGTGAAATGTTTTTGGGATGAGAACGTGTCGGTAAATTGTATCACTGTAGGGTTTACCTTACAATGTAAAGCTCCTTAAAGGGTTTGAAACATCTTTCTCATGGTGTCGTTGTGTTTGTTCTGCAGAATCTCGACTAATACTTCCTTTCGTTTGATACCTACTCGGCCGGCCCCGCCCCCTCCCAACACAGCAGGCCGATCAGGAAAATCTGTCAGACAGAAGACACCGAGGTAAACACAACTACGCACAACGCCTGCAAAACTAAATCGACCTTCAAAGTGTTAACGTGGGTGTGTCCTGCAGGGCGGCCACCATCCGAGTGTCAAGGAAGAAGGGCGCCAGCGGGAAACCTACTCCTCAGAGCCCTGTCGTCCGGGCAAGCTGGCTGGACGTCTGGAAAGGCTTCAGGTAATGTCAAGGCCATCACAGGTTTCACAAGTCGTGCTTTAGATTCACTCCAGGACAGAGTCGGCCTGGGCATCAAAACCTAAAGGGTGTCCACAAAGACTAGGTTCTCGAGTGGTCCGTACTATCTACTGTTGGATATTTATCATGTATCAGCACCTAAAGATCTTCATAAAAGGTTCTTCATTTTCTGGTCTTTTGGCCTCACCTGTCTCGTTCGCTGAAACAAAATCCCATTAGAAACTCATGTTTCCTATAGTATGAGCAGAACCAGCTAACCTGGGCTAATCAGGGGACCCAAAATCATGTGACTGCTTACTTGTCAGTTGAATGGATGATGAACTGTTTTCTGCCTTTAACAGACATAATGTATTATGGGCGACGCTGGACGGACAGCTGATGTCTCTGTGGAAGAAACGCACAGTAAGCTGGCATCTCTCACCTGTCTCACTGTGTTATTTACCTCACTCTGTGTACCTGTCTCACTGTGTGGACCTATCAATTCAATTTTATTTATATAGCGCCAAATCACAACAACAGTCGCCTCAAGGTGCTTTATATTGTACAGTAGATACAGAGAAAAACCCAACAATCATATGACCCCCTATGAGCAAGCACTTTGGCGACAGTGGGAAGGAAAACTCCCTTTAACAGGAAGAAACCTCCAGCAGAACCAGACTCAGGGAGGGGCGGGGCATCTGCTGTGATTGGTTGGGTGAGAGAAGGAAGACAGGATAAAGACATGCTGTGGAAGAGAGACAGAGATTAATAACAGATATGATCAATGCAGAGAGGTCTGTTAACACATAGTGAGTGAGAAAGGAGACTGGAAAGGAAAAACCCAGTGCATCATGGGAATCCCCCGGCAGCCTACGTCTATTGCAGCATAACTAAGGGAGGATTCAGGGTCACCTGGTCCAGCCCTAACTATATGCTTTAGCAAAAGGAACGTTTGAAGCCTAATCTTAAAAGTAGAGATAGTGTCTGTCTCCTGAATCCAAACTGGAAGCTGGTTCCACAGAAGAGGGGCCTGAAAACTGAAGGCTCTGCCTCCCATTCTACTTTAAATACTCTAGGAACAACAAGTAGGCCTGCAGAGCGAGAGCGAAGTGCTCTAATAGGGTGATATGGTACTACAAGGTCATTAAGATAAGATGGGGGTAATGCCATCCAGAGTAAGAATCTGGTTAGATACCATATTTCTAAGATTTTCAGGGCCGAGTACAATAACCTCAGTTTGATCTGAATTAAGAAGCAGAAAGTTAGCGGCCATCCAGGTCTTTATGTCTTAAGACATTCCTGCAGTTTAACTCATTGGTGTGTGTTATCTGGCTTCATGGACAGATAGAGCTGGGTGTCATCTGCATAGCAGTGTAAATGTATGCTATGTCTTCTAATGATGCTGCCTAAGGGAAGTATGTATAATGTAAACAGAATTGGTCCTAGCACTGAACCCTGTGCAACTCCATAATTAACCTCAGTGTGTGAAGAGGACTCTCCATTTACATGCACAAACTGGAGTCTATTAGATAGACATGATACAAACCACTGCAGCACAGTACCTGTAATACCTACAGCATGTTCTAATCGCTCTAATAGGATATTATGGTCGACAGTATCGAACGCTGCACTGAGGTCTAGCAGGACAAGCACAGAGATGAGTCCACTGTCAGAGGCCATAAGAAGATCATTTGTAACCTTCACTAAAGCTGTTTCTGTGCTGTGATGAGCTCTGAAACCTGACTGAAACTCTTCAAATAAACCTCTGCAGATGATCTGTTAGCTGTTTGACAACTACTCTTTCAAGGATGTTTGATATGAAAGGAAGGTTGGAGATTGGCCTATAATTAGCTAAGACTGCTGGGTCTAGAGATGCTTTTTGAGTAAAGGTTTAACTACAGCCAGCTTGAAGGCCTGTGGTACATACAGTGGCTTGCAAAAGTATTCGGCCCCCTTGAACTTTTCCACATTTTGTCACATTACAGCCACAAACATGAATCAGTTTTATTGGACTTCCAGGTGAAGGACCAACACAAAGTGGTGTACACGTGAGAAGTGGAACGAAAATCAGACATGATTCCAAACATTTTTTACAAATAAATAACTGCAAAGTGGGGTGTGCGTAATTATTCAGCCCTGAGTCAATATTTGTAGAACCAGCTTTTGCTGCAGTTACAGCTGCCAGTCTTTTAGGGTCTGTCTCTACCAGCTTTGCACATCTACAGACTGAAATCTTTGCCCATTCTCTTTGAAACAGCTCCAGCTCAGTCAGATTAGATGGGCAGCGTTTGTGAACAGCAGTTTCAGATCTTGCCACAGATTCTGGATTGGATTAGATCTGGACTTTGACTGGGCCAGTCTAACACATGGATATGTTTGTTTTAAACCATCCCATTGTTGCCCTGGCTTTATGTTCAGGGTCGTTGATGCTGGAAGCTGAACCTCCGCCCCAGTCTCAAGTCTTTTGCAGACTCCAAGAGGTTTACTTCCAAGACTGCCCTGTATTTGGCTCCATCCATTTTCCCATCAACTCTGACCAGCTTCCCTGTCCCTGCTGAAGAGAAGCCCCCCAGAGCATGATGCTGCCACCACCATATCTGACAGTGGGGATGGTGTGTTCAGAGTGATGTGCAGTGTTAGTTTTCATCCACACATAGTGTTTTGCATGTTGGTCTCATCTGACCAGAGCAGCTTCTTCCACATGTTTGCTGTGTCCCCACATGGCTTGTGGCAAACTGCAAACAGGACTTCTTATGGTTCCTGTTAACAATGGCTTTCTTCTTGCCACTCTTCCATAAAGGCCAACTTTGTGCAGTGCACGACTAATAGTTGTCCTGTGGACAGATTCCCCCACCTGAGCTGTAGATCTCTGCAGCTCGTCCAGAGTCACCATGGGCCTCTTGGCTGCATTTCTGATCGGCGCTCTCCTTGTTCGGCCTGTGAGCTCCAGGCGACCGTGGCTCAGGGGGTTGGTAAGCGTATCTGTAACCAGAAGGTCGCCGGTTCAATCCCCGGGCTCTCTTTCCTGGTCGTTGTGTCCTTGGGCAAGACGCTTCACCTACTGCCTACTGGTGTTGGCCAGAGGGCCGATGGCGCAATATGGCAGCCTCGCTTCTGTCAGTCTGCCCCAGGGCAGCTGTGGCTACAACTGTAGCTGCCTCCACCAGTGTGTGAATGCGAGAGTGAATGAATAGTGGCATTGTAAAGCGCTTTGGGTGCCTTGAAAAGCGCTATATAAATCCAATCCATTATTATTAAATGTCTCAATAACTTTATCCCTGACCTGTCTGCTGTGTTCTTTGGACTTCATGGTGTTGTTGCTCCCAATATTCTCCTAGACAACCTCTGAGGCCGTCACAGAGCAGCTGTATCTGTACTGACATTACACACAGGTGCACTCTATTTAGTCATTAGCACTCATCAGGCAACGTCTATGTGCAACTGACTGCACTCAGACCAAAGGGCTGAATAATTACGCACACCCCACTTTGCAGTTATTTATTTGTAAAAAATGTTTGGAGTCATGTTTGATTTTGGTTCCACTTCTCACGTGTGCACCACTTTGTGTTGGTCTTTCACCTGGAAGTCCAATAAAACTGATTCATGTTTGTGGCTGTAATGTGACAAAATGTGGGAAAGTTCAAGGGGGCCCAATACTAGTGATGGGCAGATGAAGCCCCATGAAGCACTGAAGCTTTTCATCCAATTGGTTCACCCCAACGCGAAGCTTCATGAAGCTTCATTTGCTCTAGCAGGACACCTACTGGACGTAAAAATAATAGCTGGCATGAATTTGAAGAGTGTGGCATTTTGCACACAGCCTGTAAATGTCAACAACAAAAGGAGTGTGTAAAACATGTATATTGTAGTGATGGCAGTATACTGTGTATATTTATACTGGCAGTATGGGAAATGATATTTGGAAATGCTTGAAATGGAAATGATCATTTACTGTGAGGTGAGGTGTGGTTGGGGTGTGGACAGTAGTTGTGCTTTTGTAACGTTGAGGTATGGACAGCTACACACTGAGGCTTTGAGCCTCAGTCCTGCCCGTTCACATTTTATTCTGTAAAAACTAAATTTTCACTGCTTTTACGTCCTTTTTAGTGGGGAGAACATAGCTGGGATTTAATGATTTAACAAATCTTTTAAATCCTTTGTCCTCCACAATGCTAAATGGCTGGGAGTCCTCAATCACCATGCTGACCAGGTCTTCATCTATTTGAGATTGTTCTCCTGAGGAAAGACAATAAAGATAAAGCACAAATATAAATATCACACACGTAACTTATAACAGTTGTATAATATTGTTATATCATTTAGTAACATTACTGCATCCTATATTATCATTGCATTTGATGGCTCACCTGGTCTTGCTCCACGATCGGTGTTCCTCTTATTCTCATGCAAAGCTCTGTAGTGCCTAAGCATGGATGAGGTGTTGTTGTTATATCCCAGCTCCCTGGCACATAGCAAACACTTCACCTTGTACAAAAGTCAAGACAGCTCAACATAAATTGTATTGCAGCATCAGTATTATGGAAATACATCTTCTGTAGAAATTTACATACCTTGTTGGGAGGAATAAAATCAAAATGTTCCCACACAGGGGAGGACATCCTCCTCTTCTTAGCTGGCTCCATTCTCTCCTGACTTTCTCTCCTCACTCTCATAAACCTCCAAACGGTCTCCAAACTCTCACTAACCGCAACTCTCCATCAAACACCCACATTTTTGAATGAAGTCTGAGGGGTTTATATCGCTGTCATAGCTCGCGGCAAAGTTCGAACCACTTCATGAACCAGTCACGTGGTACAGCCGGGCAGCGAGGCTTCGGACGTCATCATTTTCAGCTCCTCCCATAAATGAAGCAAGCCTCGATACGCGCTTCGCGGAAACGCCCCCTCCATTACTCGACACACGCTCCGAAGCCTCGATACAGAACGTCCCATCACTACCCAATACTTTTGCAAGCCGCTGCAGCTGATTATTAGAGATCGTAGTTACATGCGGCTGTCTTCTTGTTTGATGGCAGATACTCCCTTCACCCTGGCCAAAAAGGCCAAAATGACCAAAGAAAAAGTGGAAAACAGTTAAACATGAGAGGTTTTTGGACAAAGTTTGAGTTTTTTCCATTGTTTAAGCACTGCTTCCAGCTAAGAGTGATGCCATATATGCCCATAGCTGCAGAAAAGGCTAACATTGTTATTTAAAAAAAAACAAACAGCTAAAGCACCAGTTCAAGCACCGTTTAAGCACCGGCACCGTTTCAAAAGTACCCGTTTGGCACCGGCCTCGGATAAAACCTAAACGATACCCATCCCTAGTGGTGGGTGGGTTCTTTTACATTCTGAGAGAAGCCAATTGGGTCTAATAACAGATTAAATGCCATGTTGAGGCTGTCATTTTTAGCATCCACATTAGGGCTGCCACAAACGATTATTTTTGATCAGAGGTGGAGCCAGACATTTGAAACACCCGGGGCTTAGCCCAAAAGGGTGGTGGGATTTTTTTTTCCGGGGGGGGGGGTTAGAAATGACTGAAAGATTAATTGGCTCTGTTTTGAGTTTTGTTCAAAAAAGAATGACTTCATATAGGGAAAAATATATATCACATGTGCAGGACACCTTAAACTAGTTTTTCAATTAAGCAGCGAGGCAGAACAAAGTCGGGCTGTATCAAGACACGAGGACTAAACCCCGATTCAACCAGACCCAGAACTGATCCAGAATTAAAACCGGACTACAACAGTTCAAAATCAGGACTACTGAGGACTTAACCAAGACAGAACCAGAATCAGAACTAGATGATAGCAGCACTAAAAATCATCATACCTGCACTACACTTATTTTTAATTCTACCAAAGTCCACTGTTTAGATTCAGAAAAGTTTATATAATTATTCAGCCTTGTTGTGCAAACAAGCTGCATAACTTAATAAATATAGAATTTGAAAAATAACAAACCTAAAAAGAAACACGAGGTACGAGATACATGAGGACCTGTGATACGGTGATACTTTTGGTAAACAACCATGTGACTAACAGGTGTGTCTCACCTGCTCTTGTTCCCTCTCTGTGCTGACAATCATCAAATCTACAGTTGAAACCAGATATTTACTCTTCAGATAAAAACACTTTTTTAATTGTAACATCAAATCAGACTAAATGTTTATTTTTTAGATAAATATAAAAACATATTTGTTAACTTTAAGAGAGAAACTGTCTGTATTTCTTGTAAATGGCACCAAATTGTATTCAAACTGAGCCACACTTATGGAGCTCCACAGTTCTGTTCCTGCTGTTTTGGTTGACATCTCTTGATGTTCCCATGTCACAGAAACAGGCTCTGTGTTTTGCCTTATATGCATCCACAGCTGTGCCACCAGTTTACTCACATGGACTCTACGAACCAATCAGAAGCTTCTTCAGCTCAGAATGGAATCGTCTGCAGTTTCTTATTAATTAACAATAAACTTGGTATACAGGGAGTGCAGAATTATTAGGCAAATGAGTATTTTGTCCACATCGTCCTCTTCATGCATGTTGTCTTACTCCAAGCTGTATAGGCTCGAAAGCCTACTACCAATTAAGCATATTAGGTGATGTGCATCTCTGTAATGAGAAGGGGTGTGGTCTAATGACATCAACACCCTATATCAGGTGTGCATAATTATTAGGCAACGTCCTTTCCTTTGGCAAAATGGGTCAAAAGAAGGACTTGACAGGCTCAGAAAAGTCAAAAATAGTGAGATATCTTGCAGAGGGATGCAGCAGTCTCAAAATTGCAAAGCTTCTGAAGCGTGATCATCGAACAATCAAGCGTTTCATTCAAAATAGTCAACAGGGTCGCAAGAAGCGTGTGGAAAAACCAAGGCGCAAAATAACTGCCCATGAACTGAGAAAAGTCAAGCGTGCAGCTGCCAAGATGCCACTTGCCACCAGTTTGGCCATATTTCAGAGCTGCAACATCACTGGAGTGCCCAAAAGCACAAGGTGTGCAATACTCAGAGACATGGCCAAGGTAAGAAAGGCTGAAAGACGACCACCACTGAACAAGACACACAAGCTGAAACGTCAAGACTGGGCCAAGAAATATCTCAAGACTGGTTTTTCTAAGGTTTTATGGACTGATGAAATGAGAGTGAGTCTTGATGGGCCAGATGGATGGGCCCGTGGCTGGATTGGTAAAGGGCAGAGAGCTCCAGTCCCACTCAGACGCCAGCAAGGTGGAGGTGGAGTACTGGTTTGGGCTGGTATCATCAAAGATGAGCTTGTGGGGCCTTTTCGGGTTGAGGATGGAGTCAAGCTCAACTCCCAGTCCTACTGCCAGTTTCTGGAAGACACCTTCTTCAAGCAGTGGTACAGGAAGAAGTCTGCATCCTTCAAGAAAAACATGATTTTCATGCAGGACAATGCTCCATCACACGCGTCCAAGTACTCCACAGCGTGGCTGGCAAGAAAGGGTATAAAAGAAGAAAAACTAATGACATGGCCACCTTGTTCACCTGATCTGAACCCCATTGAGAACCTGTGGTCCATCATCAAATGTGAGATTTACAAGGAGGGAAAACAGTACACCTCTCTGAACAGTGTCTGGGAGGCTGCGGTTGCTGCTGCACGCAATGTTGATGGTGAACAGATCAAAACACTGACAGAATCCATGGATGGCAGGCTTTTGAGTGTCCTTGCAAAGAAAGGTGGCTATATTGGTCGCTGATTTGTTTTTGTTTTGTTTTTGAATGTCAGAAATGTATATTTGTGAATGTGGAGATGTTATATTGGTGTCACTGGTAAAAATAAATAATTGAAATGGGTATATATTTGTTTTTTGTTAAGTTGCCTAATAATTATGCACAGTAATAGTCACCTGCACACACAGATACCCCCCTAAAATAGCTCAAACTAAAAACAAACTAAAAACTACTTCCACAAACATTCAGCTTTGATATTAATGAGTTTTTTGGGTTCATTGAGAACATGGTTGTTGTTCAATAATAAAATTATTCCTCAAAAATACAAGTTGCCTAATAATTCTGCACATCATCAATGTACTCCTACATTTGATCAAAGTGATGATAAATAGAAGCTCTGTCTCTCTTTATTCTGACATTTAACTGATTCAAAATATATTTCAATATTTATCTAAAACAAAAGTTTACTCTAAATTGATGTTGTGCAGTAAAAATGTTTTATGTTTTCTCCCTAAAGTGTAAATATCTGGTTATAAATGTGAATATCCTGCTGTGTACTGAAATCCCTCTTGTTTTGCATAGAAATATACTGAACAACATACAAAGCATAATATAGAAAATAACATTTACCTGAGTTTTTCTTTGAAAGAAGCCTCTAATGTCCATTCTTATATTTCAGTACATAACTGAAACCGATTTAGTCGGGAGGGTAAGAACTGAAAATATGAAATAAACACACGTAAGCTAAGACTCTGTAAAAAAAAAAAAGAAGCATTTGTTCGGCTTTTCATTTCGCCATTTGTTGATTCACTCGAAGAGCGAGTAACGTAATATTGGTCAAGTGATCAGTTTGACATCAATCTTTCGTGATGCACCGTCATATTTACATTATTTGTACGGTACCAATGATTTGCTTTGGTACCTGCTCAAACTTAAGCTCTCCTTAGTATGGCTGGCTGCGTTTCTCCAACAGCGCACTCACAGGCAGCAGCTGCCCCGCCCCCTCGCTCAGTCGCTTAGTGCCTGAGCTCGGATCATACCAATATCAGGGGGGATTCACGCACAGTCGTAAATTCCCACAGTGTTCACTATGTGCTTCGAATATTGTGTGTACTTTTTGTTTTATACAGTTGTCAGCCAGACATCTAACTATGAAAAAATTACACTCCAAAAGACCCCGGGCTTCTGACAAAACAACCCGGGCTTAAGCCCAGTAAGCCCCCCCCAGGCTTCGCCCCTGTTTTTGATAGTCGACTAATCAGATCATGCATGATTAGACATAAAATGTACAGCCAATTACAACCAGCATGAATCTGCTCTTATATTACTGTCATTAGCTCACAGCTTGAAGTGTTTAAGGTGCTAACTAACAATAAAGAGCAGATGACAGTTTATTAAACTTTTAATAAAAATGTCCAGATTGTCTCGGTGGAGTTTAATGAATCGTCCGTCTGCTCCTTGCTGTCTAAAATATATCAGGACACTGGTGTAAACTCTCGACGATCTCACACTTCTGTTTTATCAGTTTTCTGTTTGACGTTTATTCAGCTGTGTGAAAACGAAGGAGGAACCCAACCAGGGGATTAATAGAGTTTTATTTTATCTAATCTAATCTAATCTGACTTCAGCCAAAGCGATTTACTCGTTTGCTTTGCTCTTTAGGACCGGTTCAGCGAGGTGTTGTTTCATGTCTCCAGTATCACCAACGTGAAGAAACAGGACAAAGGCAGATTCTCTGTTTACTTCAGGAAGAAGCATTATGACTTCATGGCTCATAGTGAAGGTAAGAACAGTGACTCTTCTGGTTTCTACTGGATTCTACTGACCCAACACAGGAAGACGACTGGGGACAGCTCCTACCAGATTGGTCAAACCTGCCTTTGTTTTATAGCGTGAGCGATTTTAGCACGATTATAAAAGAGACCCGCGGTCTCGGCTTCCCTGTTTCACGCCTCATATTTTTTCTGCTTGCTTCTGTTTGTCTATCAGAGGTTCAGGACGGTTGGGTCACTTCTCTTCTCGCCACTCGAGGCAATCCAAGCCCCACCCCCCCAGAACTCCATGGACAAATCACCCTTAAGGACCCGCGGGGTCGTGCTTATGCTGCCCTCTGGGGTCATGACCTTTGGATTTACCCTAACAAGGAGGGCTTCCAGCTGGGTGTGGCCTCGTATACCGTCCCCCTGAATGTGGCCTCGGTCAAATCGACGGGGAAACACTCGTTTAGCCTCATCACTCCATACAAGACCTTCAAGTAAACCCCCGTCTGTGTGTCTGCCTGTCGGTCCATACCTGTATGGTGTTTATTTGTTTGCTAAAATTATATCCTCCTCTCTTTAACCCCGCCCCCTACCTACAGCCTGTCTGTTGATTCGTCCAAGGATCTGTCCGTCTGGGTGGACAGGCTGTCTTCAAGTATCCAGAGCGCTCTGTCCTGCTGTCAGGTGGCGCTGCGTCTCTGGGAACACCCGTACAACAAGGTGTGCGGGGACTGTGGTGCGGCCAATCCGGAGTGGGCCTCGGTCAATCTGCTGCTGGTCATATGTCAGCACTGTGCAGGTATGACAGCACACCTGGTACACGTTAAGATTATTAATGCAGAGGGTTGTGTAACAGCAGAATGAGACGCATCGATGTGAACCTTTTCAGGATTCAAACGATCGTTGGTCACGGACGTAAAGAAGCGACATTACCCAGGACTTATGTCAGAACACAAGTATGAAAAAGGCAGAAAATAAAAATATTGAGGAAAATATGTAACACAAAATCGATTTTAATCTACCAAAACAAAGGCACAGATTCATGTCCAAGAGACCGCACCTCCCTGTGCTGTTTTTAAAAGATCAGAGACTCAGAGCTGTCCTCTTAAGAATCTGGATGCTGTGAATGAGCAAATATAACCAGGTGCAGAAGATCCTCCAAAGTGCCATTAAAGGCCCAGAAGAGAAACCAACAAACACTGTTGTAAGATCTCGGTGATATCACAGGAGTAGCATACGTCCAAACCAACAGAGCAGAAAGCTCTGAGATAAAGAAACGAAACCAAATGTGAGCCTGACCCACTGACTGTTAGCTGGAACAGTTTATATGATGCTGATTAAATGAAACGATACCAGCGTTCCAGTTTCACCACTGCCAATAAAACGTGTGCAGTCTGAGGGAAACACACCTGTCAATAAAACTCACCTGCTGATAACACACACCTGTAGACTGTTGATACACTGTGATCACTGCGAAAACCCAACCTTCACACATTTTCTTTTCTGTTGTTAAATAGAAAAAATATTTGAGGACTAAAGCACTGGGCAGCAACCCTATCCTCACTTTTTCATTCTTATTCACAGTCTTGTAAATACTATATTCATTCATTTATTTATTTATTTCATTTTTTCTTTGTTTAAAATTTATTGTACATACTTATCCTCTTAAAATTGCCCTTTTTTCACTTGTAGTGAATTGGTTTGTATACAGTTTTTGTTGTTCGAGAGCACAATGACAACAAAGATTCTGAGATTCTGTAAAACCCACTGAACGCAAAATGCTAACATGTTCTCAGGTCACCATCGAGGCCTGGGCAGCAACCTGTCGAAGGTGCGCAGTCTAAGGATGGACAATAAAATCTGGACTGAACCATTGATACAGGTGAGTGGGTGGAGATTGAACACAGTGCAACACAAACACAGTCCCAGTTCAACCAGCCAGTTAGCAGCTACAGCTGCCTTTGTCACCACCCACTGTTGTTATGATCTATCAGGTCTTTAAGTGATGACGTGATGAAACCTGCTACTCTGCGTTTAATAAGGCTGTTGTGTTTTTAACATGTTTTAATGCTTTGTATCTGGTTCTATTTATTCTCAAAAGCCCCTAAAAACAGTCAGTGATCACGGTCGGCCTCTCTCAGTTTTTATTACCACTGTTCATTTTAAAGCTCAGTTTTTAAAACTTTAGGATGTAACTGCAGCCCATGCAGCAGTATATGAATGACTAACTATTGTGGATGGATTATCTCAGTTGTTCTCCGTTTACAGCATCCTGCCATGCGATTGCATTTGTCCCTGATCATCGGGAACTTTTATTGAGTGGGAAAAAAGTTTATGCTATGCTAACATAGCTGTGTCGCTAGCGGTCACGTAGCACATCATTATATACCAGCTAGCCAAACTAAAGTAACCCTACAAACGTCCCTGCTGTTTAGTTTTCTGTCTTCATTTATTTCAGAAGCGATAGCAGAGCTGTACGTTTGAATTTGTTTTAGAAATCTCTCAGTCGGGACAGGCTATATTATATTTAGACGGAAACTAGCAAGCTAACTCCCTGCTAACTTCTAACTCTGTTAAGTTTAATAAATTCAGTTTTCATGGATGCCTGAACGTTAAACTTAACCGTTACACCTGGAAGCGCAGCCACAGTGATCGTTTGGCTTATGGACCTGCAGCTGAGTCTGGGCCCAGACACGGCTAATGACGTCAGACTTAAAGACCGGATAGAGACCAGTTTTTTAGTCTCAGGCTGTAAACATGTTTATTTCTGCTGTAGAGTTTTAACATTGGAGTCAATGCTGCCTCTGCTGGACATTATGGAAACTGCAGTTAACTTTTACCTTCAATCTTCTGCCAGCTGTTCGTTACCTATGGTAACCAGCTGGCAAATCAGGTGTGGGCTCCAGCGGTGCCAGCGGCAGAGCAGCTCCGCCCAGAGTCCACAGATGAGGAGAGGTCAAAGTTCATAAAGGATAAATACAGCAGGGGGCGCTACAGACGAGTGCACGCTCTGGCCTCATTTCCCTCCATGATGGAGCAGGTCTGACCCAGAATCAGCTCAGCCACCGCACACGCTCAGAGGCGTTACACAGGTGTCATATGTGTGACAGGTGTGTGTGTTTGTGTTTCAGAGGCTGTATCAGGTGGTCTGCACTGATGACGTGGAGGAAACGATGTCTCTGATCTGCTCCGGAGCAAAGGTACTGTCCTGTGTTCATGATGCTCGTTAAGCTTATTAAACATTTATAACACACTCCCTCCTTCATCTGAGGCTCTCACCTGTGCAGGTGTCTTCATCAGACCCACAGACCCCCTCCCTCATCCTGCTGGCAGAGCGAGCCAATCAGGCTCTGCAGACCGAGCTGCTGCGAGTCAACGAGTACACAGGTAACACACACACACACTCACACACACAAAGGTCACACACACTCACACACACAAAGGTCACACACACACACACTCACACACACAAAGGTCACACACACACACAAAGGTCACACACACACACACTCACTCACACACAGGTCACACACACACACACACTCACTCACACACAGGTCACACACACTCACTCACACACACACAGGTCACACACACTCACTCACACACAGGTCACACACACACACTCACACACACACAGGTCACACACACACACAAAGGTCACACACACACACTCACGCACACACAGGTCACACACACACACACTCACACACACACAGGTCACACACACTCACTCACACAAAGGTCACACACACACACAAAGGTCACACACACACAAAGGTCACACACACACACACACACACACACACACACACACACACACACACACACACACACACACACACACACACACACACACACACAAAGGTAACACACACACACAGGTGACAGTAAATGCTGATCTGAGCTCACCTGCCGCTCTGTGTGTGTTCTGTGCTCAGAAGTCCCGCCTCACCAGCCGCTGGCAGGTAGAAGGAGGTTGGACTCCGCCCCCTCAGGTATGCAGTTCAAATGAATCCAGGTGCACTCGCAGAGATCAAAACGCTGTACATGAATATGAATGTGGTGACATGTCAGAGTCTCTTTGATCCACCCAAACATCAGCAAACACTCACCTGTGTCATCTGTGCAGGTGAGGAGAAGGAGGAGCTTCACGGGAAACTGGAGGATGATCGTTTTCTCTTCTCGCTAGAAAACGAATCAGCAGCCTGCGACGTGCTCGACCTGCGAGAAGTCCTGTCTGTCTTCCTCAAAGACGGGTAAATATGCAGTACTAATACCTCTGGTACCACAAGTACTGCAGTACCTCACAGTAATACTGCGTTTTAGAGGTTTTAGCAGAAAAACACCTGACTGACCACAGGCTGTGTCTGAAAGGCGGAGGCCACCTTGATGAGGCCACGCCTCTGTGAATGTTTTTTTGTGAACTTTGAACTCATTCATGGTGATGTCAGCAATGATGTAAAGCTCAACCATCAGTGGCCGGGGTCACGCGGCACACCTGTCAGCTGGTTTGGGACACCTCGGTGTCAGAGCAGGAGGAAGTGGAGGGAGAGCTCGGGGTGTCTCTGCTACGACTGTCAGGAAATTCAGTCCGTTGCACAGTGTGAGGCAGAAGCTGCGTCCCTGTCCCGGGTCACCTGTCTGTTGGACAGTGTTTCCTCCGGGCCGACCCGAACTCGTTCAGAGGTAACGCCATGACAGAATCAACCACCTGCGGCCTCAGCTCTCTACTGCAGCTTCAGCACTGGAGGTGTGGAACGTGGCCCGCTCCGAGTCAGTGGACCCAGGACGCTGTCAGTGAGCCCGAGCACTGCCCCAGGCTCCTTCAGGGTCCTTCATTTCATCAAAGGGTAGCTCTGAATCACTCAGGACCAGTTTGTTTGGGGACATCCTAAATCATCTGCATGATGTGTGGATAGAAGAAAGCATCCAACAGATTTAGTGCAGGACACACGGGACTGAGCTCAGACCACTGCCAGCGCCAAAGCTACACCAAAGCAACACGCTGAGCTCGTTACACACAACCGGTGAACGTTTTACATCACAGGAAGTTCCCACAAACAAAACAGGAAGCTCAGGGCAGCCAACTCTGACACCGCAGCTCCCTCTGCTGGACACATCTATTCACTGCAAACACCTACAAACCGACTCAAACAGCAAAGCTGAAAGAATCAGTCGTTTCATATGGTTACCAAGGCAACAGAAAAACAAAGTGACTGGCTCCTCAGCTCTTATTGTTACTCTGCAGACGAGTCCTAGCTCCAGGGTGTTTGTGTTCAGGTATCAGCTGCTGTGTCTGAGGTGGAGGTGTGGCCTATCCCAGCTGTCATAGGACGGGAGGCGGGGTCACCTGGGCAGCTCACCTGTCTGTCACAGTACTTTTATAAGAACCATCAATAATAATCATAAACTGTTAGTTTACTGGGGCAGCACGGTGGCACGGTGGTTAGCACTGTTGCCGCACAGCAAGAAGGTCCAGAGTTCAATTCCACCATCAGGTCTTTCTGTGTGGAGTTTGCATGTTCTCCCCGTGTTTGCGTGGGTTCTCTCCGGGTACTCCGGCTTCCTCCCACCGTCCAAAGACATGCAGCTTGTGGGGATAGGTTAATTGGATAATCCAAATTGCCACTAGGTGTGAATGTGCGAGTGAACGTGAGTGCGACTGGTTGTCTGTCCCTGTGTGTTGGACCTGCGACAGACTGGCGACCTGTCCAGGGTGTACCCCGCCTCTCGCCCTATGACAGCTGGGATAGGCTCCAGCGCCCCCGCGACCCTGAAAAGGATATGCGGAAGCGAATTGATGGATGTTAGTTTACTAATGTCATAATGAATCTTTACTCTGATCTATGACATCATAACAGCCTGCCTACTTACAGGTCCTTTAAACCAGGTGTGATAAACATCAGCACCTCTACAGGTCATCCAGAAGATGTTCTACAGGCTGGTTATTAAGCCTGATAAATGAAGTATATCAAGTATAAATGTTGCATATTAGTGGTACAAAAACATCACCGAGGGCATTTATTATTGAGGGTTACAGTGTGTCTCTGTGATGAAGATGACCGAACCATACCTGCTGCTGTGTTTCAGCCGAGCTCATCAGTTTGAGATCGTCACACTCACAGATCAGCTGATCTGTGCAGCTGACAGCAGGGAGGGGCTGTCGGACCACCTGGTCCATATTCTGAAGGTAATGTTGGTTTGGGTCAGACTTTTCCTCTAAATCCACAGCTCAGGTCCTCTGACTGACTGAATTCATGTTTCCAGGTGATTCTTCCAGGGGGCGTGTCTTATGCTGAGGTGGGCGGAGCCTCCGCAGTCAGTAAAGTGTGTATTGTAGAATTGGGCAGAGCTTCCAATCATCCAGAGGCCTGGCTGCTGCTTTGGGAGGATGGAGTCAGCATTCACCCTGTCCACAGAGAATCCCATGAGTCTCTCACAATTGATCTGGGCATGCTCAGTCACCACGGTAACAGTCTGTCTTATGAGTATGCGTCTGTATGTTGTTTTGTTCAGTAGATGTTGAGGGAACACATATTGATCTGTTTGAGTGCTTTCTTGTTGGAAATGTTTTCCACCCATGACTGGATGTTGGTCCTGCAGCTGACGGTTATTCCGTGTGTAAATGTTTTCATTCACACACACTCGTGTAGTTTATTCTTTGATTATCGGTCTGGTGTCACCATCTCTGCCCTACACAGCCTGAACTCTCCGAGCAGCTTTCAGGCTTCTTTGCATTCGGAGCTCTTCTGTGGCTGTCGGCATTGTGTTGTGTGTATCTGCTGAAATCAGTCAGGCTGCTGATGAATGTGAGGACACTTTGATATCATTGACCAGTCTGGCTTTAACTCCTCTTACAGAAATGGATCCATCTGAAAACATCGTCACCATGGCAACTGCAGACAGGTGTGCAGCATCACTCTATAACATCTTCATTAAAACTAATGATGTGAATTCAGAGCTTCTGATTGGCTGACACCACCACAGATATATGTGACATCACAGCTGGTTTCTCTCCTCAGGAGGGTGTCGTTGCGTTTCGAAGAGCAATACAGCTGTCGGTCCTGGTTCACCCACCTTCAAAGAGCTCTAGCCAATCAGAGCCCAGCTGTGCCACGTCCTCCTGCAGCCAATCAGAGCCCAGCCGTGCCACGTCCCCTTGCAGCCAATCAGAGCCCAGCCGTGCCACGTCCTCCTGCAGCCAATCAGAGCCCAGCCGTGCCCCATCCTCCTGCGGCCAATCAGAGCTCAGTTTCTTGGTCTCTGTACCCGGTGATGGATGTGCAGCTGAGAGGTTCGGTACCGCCGGCCATCGAGCGCTGCATCTCCCACATCACCACCTACGGTGAGCCGAGGTCACCATGCCGACACAGTGACAGGCAGCAAAGCATCATGGGATACTTCTAATGCAGCATTTTCTCTCTCAGGTCTGAAGGTGGAGGGCGTGTACCGGCGCTGCGGTCTCGCTTCAAAAGTCAGCCAGTTGGTGGAGGCCTTGATTATATCACCAAACTCCACCCCCCTGGAGAGTCATGAGCAGGGCGTGCTAGATGCTGGCTCCGCCCTCAAACAATATGTCCGCCGGCAAGAGAGTCTGATTCCCAACGGAGCCCAAGGGCAGTGGCTGCAGGCTGCAGGTACACGAAGAACTACTGTCTGAGCTACTACTACATGTAGTACTGCTGTCTGTAGAGCTGCTGCAGTATCTGTACTGTAGTACTAATAGCAGTAACCTCTGCAGAAACTGCAAAAACATCAGAGACCTTATATGAGCCGCTATTAGCCCTCCTGAAAAGTACTGCAGTTTTTCTGAGTGAAGTAACTGTAACCCGACGCAACAGGAAAACTGTGTAACACTAAAATATTTATATATTTGTCTCCAGAACAGAAAAAGCATGTACTGCAGTATAACCGTAGTACTACTGACAGTATCCTGACAGCAGTGATACTGCAGTAGTCGTAGTACTCGGGCTAACAGCAGCGATACTGCAGTAGTCGTAGTACTCTGGCTAACAGCAGCGATAATGCAGTAGTTGTAGTACTCGGGCTAACAGCAGCGATGATGCAGTAGTTGTAGTACTCGGGCTAACAGCAGCGATACTGCAGTAGTCGTAGTTCTCTGGCTAACAGCAGCGATACTGCAGTAGTTGTAGTACTCGGGCTAACAGCAGCGATACTGCAGTAGTCGTAGTTCTCTGGCTAACAGCAGCGATACTGCAGTAGTCGTAGTACTCGGGCTAACAGCAGCGATACTGCAGTAGTCGTAGTACTCGGGCTAACAGCAGCGATAATGCAGTAGTCGTAGTACTCTGGCTAACAGCAGCGATACTGCAGTAGTCGTAGTTCTCTCCCTAACAGCCTGTTTGTCTCTCAGGTGTGTCAGACGAGAAACGCAGGTTTAAGGAGTACAGACGGTTACTACGGCAACTTCCTGATGACAACCGAGCGACCCTGAATGCCCTGTTTGGACACTTCTACATGTAACACACACTCTCACACACACACAGAATCAGAGCAGTTTATTTAAAACAGTAACAGTAACTAACATTAATGTTACACACAGATATGTGTCGTTCAGTGGTGCATTATGGGTAATCTCAGTCCTGCACTGAGCGTGCTCCTGTGACAGCACGTCATGGAGTGGGTGGGAGGTCCAGCACTGTCCTTATCTTAGACAACATCCGCCTCTCTGACACCACCCTAAGGCAGTCCAGCTCCCCTCATGGCTCTTGTCAGTGGGCGGGATCTATCAGGGAGCAGGTGAACATGTTGGCGTCAGAAACAGGAAACACAGCGTCTTTGAGGCGTTCCCACTCTGCAGTTGACCAGCGGTGAAACAGCCAGAGAGTCGCGATGAGGGTGGTGGGGCGGGACCTGGGAAGATGATCGATCCTACAGATGAGCTGCTGACAGAAAGGTGTCCAGCACACAGAGCACTGCAGTAATTAGGCAGGAACACTGACGCTGCACCCTCTCTAATGTCCAGCAGGGGGCGACGACCTGCCCAGTTTAAACTGTTTCCTGTCTAACTGAATAAAGTAAAAAGTTCATTTTGAACATTTTGGACTCGTTGGAGTCACAGAGGAACACGAAGTGGAAGTTCATTGGACAACGACTCAGTCAGTCAGTTTCTCAGTCAGCCCCGCCCCCTCGCTACTTACAGTTCCTGAGTCTGGCAGCAGGGGGTGTAAGACGTAGTTTCAGAGCTCGTGTTTGCCTCTGTCTCACCTGAGATCACCTGACAGTGTCACCTGATCACACTCACGTCCCACTAGGAGAATCTCTCAGACTAACACTTCACCCCCCGTTTATCAGAGTCACAGTGGTAAATGCTTCATGTTTGCTCTTTAATGTCATTACCTGGACTGTAGAGCTGGGCGATATAAGATTTCTTCATATCACGATATATTTTTTTCATTTCAGGCGATAACGATATCTATCACGATATCAGCCAAATAACTATATTTGTAAGATTTAAATGTGCCGTTGCTCACAAGTAAAATGTGAAATAATCAGCAGCTTGTTTTTAAATATTTATTTCCCATAATAAGTTCAACAGGGTAGATGTACTTAAGGAACACGAGACTTTTTCAGATAAATAAAGGCAAATATTGCAAACTACACAAAAGGCAGCCGCTAAAGCGTTTAAGTTTCAAAATAGAACAAACGAAACAGACTAAATTCCACTTAGAAACAAAATATTAATTTTAAAAATAAATCTTAGTTTGTTTTACAGAAGAACAGACAAAACTGACTAACTTTTGTCAATATCAAATAAACTGAGAACTAAAAGGAAATTCTCAATCTCTCCTTGTTGTATAGCTGAGCTTTTCAAACAGTTGTAAAAGTTACTTTAGTCTGACAAAAGCCGAATGACGAATTAGCGCTTCCAGTCAGAGACTGAGCTGCACCGGCTTATTGTATTTCCAGACTTGCTTTCGGCACATTTACAGTGCAGCTGCTCTGTTTGACTTGAAATAGCAGAAATACCTTCACACTACGGGACTTCTGTGGCTCTTCCGTTCGACAATCTCTCCGGCGTTGGAACCATCATCTGTGTTCTCTTCGGTAACCTTCGGTCACGCTCGGTTGATCTTTCTCTAGTCGGCACACTCATTTCCTCCATTACCCGGGTGGCACGGCAGCTGGCTGCTTCCCAAACAAATACACGTGTGCGGCTTGGCACGCGTGCTGTACGTAACAAGTCACGTGACGCTGCAGCTGTGATTGGTTCGGCTCTGCGCTACTTAATTTGGATTGGCTGTTCTTTTTCTTTTTTTAAGAGGACAAGAGCGGTGAGGCCTCACAATAGTTTAACTTTTCTATCGAGAAAACGTTATTTTACATATCGTATCGTTCTATCGCCCAGCTCCACTGCACTGACGTGCAGGTAGGAGGGCTGGAGTCACCTGAGTTTGAATCGAACGCTGATGGAACCTGTTAATATGATTTATTTAGTCTGATCATGAACACAGTGAATGAAACCAGCACACAGAACATCACCTGCTCACTGACTCCTCCCTCTCTCCCTCAGGGTTCAGGTGTTCTCTCAGGTGAACAAGATGTCAGCCCATAACCTGGCTGTGGTCCTGGTCCCGTCCCTCTTCCAGGCCATGAACCAGGACTTGATCACCCTCACTAGAGAGTTCATCATCCACCACACCCTGCTCTTCCTCGTAAGTTTGCTGCTTCCTGTTTCCTGTTTCTACGACGAGTTTGGGCTCAGCTGATCCAGCTAACCCAGAGAAAGCCTGACTGATGTGACGTTTGTGTGCAGACCCCAGACTCGGCTCAGAGGCAGGAGCAGACCACTGTCTTCTGATGAAGATCAGCCCGTTTCTTTTAGCTTACTGTGAATCTTTTGGGATGTTGAGGAAACTGTTGTTATTGAAATCACTGACCAATCACTGTCTACTTCCTGTTTCCTGTCAGTTGAACTACGGCTATCAGAGAGAATGATTACTGCTGGCTGCTCTTTACGGTGGTTGTTAAATGAATGTTAATGTGAGGCTCTGCAGCTGAGCGGGGTGTACCACTGTGTAAGCTGAGCACTCACTTTATGAAATGTTATCTTCAAATCTGCAAATAAAACTGAAACTGAACATTTAATAAAATCTGCATTAAATTCTTGTTTTATTTTGTAATTAAATAATAATAGATCGACTTCATTGAATTTAAATAATTGACCATTCCCGTTCAAAGACCCTACATTATGACAGAGAACCCCCAACAAACAGACCCCCCCATGAGCAAGCACTTGTGACAGTCGGAAGGAAAAACTCTTTAACAGGAAGAAACTTCCAGCGTCACCAGGCGACGGGTGAGGAGAGAGCCAGAAATGCATAATAACTCATGGCTACATGCAGAGAGGTGCACTATGACAATGCAATGAAAGCTTTGACCAGCAGGCGGTTTGTGTGCACACGAAGCGTCACACAATGAACCTTTGTGAACCATCTGGATGGAAAAAGCTTCATGAGGCTGACCATCACTAGCAGTGAATCCTGCTATGTGAGCATCAGCTCAGGGTAAACATACTCAGACCTGATTGGTCCACCTCTGATCAGCTGTAAAGGAAACTCCTGGATCAGGTCCCTACGCTGTTCAGTGTAAATGTCATCTGCAGGAAGAACGAAGCCCTGTGATGGTGAGAGGCACACAGTCTAACCACAGTGAAACATGCAGCCTGGGTTTAATGTTTGATGCTTGTTAGAAACCAGCGTGACGATCCTGGAAACAGTGAAAGCAACGAGGACATGCAGTTTGTGAACACACCGTTACAGTGTCCGTGTGTAATATGAGGCCAGAAACCCGGGTCAACTGGAACTCGACTTTGTGTTTAGTGCATTTCTACCCCCCTCCCCTCCAGTAACGCAGCACTGTAGGGTGGTCATGCACATCCTGTACACTAACACAGTGGTTCACAAAGTGGGGAGCGTGACCCCCAGTGGGGGTGCAGAGCCATTGAAAGGGAGGGCGGGGTAAGAATTAAAAAAAAAAAAAGCATGCTTGGACCCTGCGAGGATGATGGACAGCAGAGGCGTTTTTAACCCACAATCAAAGCACTCCAAAGATTTCTTACTTTTTTGACAGTGTTTGCTGTTTGTGTGACACACTACTAAAAATAAACTTGGTTGAGACGTGACATTTTAACAACAAAAGTATAGATACCCCCCCTCCAAAAAATGGTTTGTTCCAGCTCGCCTGTCCCCTGCTCTGGCGCCCTTTCTGCCAGAGCGATGGTGGCTTAAAACAGGACATGTTGGCTGCATTTAACCTTCAGTTACTCTTTATACAGTTGGTAGGAGTCAAGCCGTGTTTCTTTTTAGCTGAAAACATTACACCAGGTAACCTGCAGTGTGGGAAACGTCTTTTCTGACGATGTTTGCTGCCCTACAATCCGTCCTGCTCTGTAGTAAAATCAATAATGCATTGACGCCGTGCAGGCCCAGGTTATTTGGCCCGCTTCCATGTGTTCTACAAAAATAGTGCTTTGTTGTGTATCTGACAGACGAAAGCTAAACCAATTACACACCACTGAAGCTGCAGGATCTTTACAAACCAGTTCAGGTTCATCCGTTTCATTCAACGATCTGCTTTTTCTACCATGTGTGTATGAAAACAAAGGCACTGGCATATGCGTTTTACCCATATTCTATCGACATATTTTACTTTCTTATCGTTGCCCAACATTATACCGGTATTACTGTGAATGGTATGATATGGCCCAGCCCTTAATAGGTTTTTTTCATATTAATGTCATTTTTTCATTTAATTGAATACAACCTATTTGTGTATGATTGTCAGTCCAAAGAGGGAGAGAGGAAAGAGGGAACGTGAGGACAAAGTACAAGGTCAGGAAGAACCAGGGAAGAAAACAGACGGGGAACAGTGACAGGCAGAAACTGTTAAACCAACAAACTACAGTAGATGCAAAAGTATTGGGCCCTTGAACTTTCCCACATTTTGTCACATTACAGCCACAAACATGAATCAGTTTTATTGGACTTCCAGGTGAAGGACCAACACAAAGTGGTGCACACGTGAGAAGTGGAACGAAAATCAGACATGATTCAAACATTTTTTACAAATAAATAACTGCAAAGTGGGGTGTGGTAATTATTCAGCCCCTTTGGTCTGAGTGCAGTCAGTTGCACATAGACGTTGCCTGATGAGTGCTAATGACTAAACAGAGTGCACCTGTGTGTAATCTAACGTCAGTACCAATACAGCCGCTCTGTGACGGCCTCAGAGGTTGTCTAAGAGAACATTGGGAGCAACAACACCATGAAGTCCAAAGAACACAGCAGACAGGTCAGGGATAAAGTTATTGAGAAATTTAAAGCAGGCTTAGGCTACACAAAGATTTCACAATCCTTGAACATCCCACAGAGCACTGTTCAAGCCATCACTCAGAAATGGAAGGAGTATGGCACAACTGTAAACCTACCAAGACAAGGCCGTCCACCTAAACTCAGGCCGAACAAGGAGAGCGCTGATCAGAAATGCAGCCAAGAGGCCCATGGTGACTCTGGACGAGCTGCAGAGATCTACAGCTCAGGTGGGGGAATCTGTCCACAGGACAACTATTAGTGGTGCACTGCACAAAGTTGGCCTTTATGGAAGAGTGGCAAGAAGAAAGCCATTGTTAACAGAAAACCATAAGAAGTCCTGTTTGCAGTTTGCCACAAGCCATGTGGGGGACACAGCAAACATGTGGAAGAAGCTGCTCTGGTCAGATGAGACCAACATGCAAAACACTATGTGTGGATGAAAACTAACACTGCTCATCACTCTGAACACACCATCCCCACTGTCAGATATGGTGGTGGCAGCATCATGCTCTGGGGGGGCTTCTCTTCAGCAGGGACAGGGAAGCTGGTCAGAGTTGATGGGAAGATGGATGGAGCCAAATACAGGACAGTCTTGGAAGAAAACCTCTTGGAGTCTGCAAAAGACTTGAGACTGGGGCGGAGCTTCACCTTCCAGCAGGACAACGACCCTAAACATGAAGCCAGGGCAACAATGGGATGGTTTAAAACCAAACATATCCATGTGTTAGAACGGCCCAGTCAAAGTCCAGATCTAAATCCAATCCAGAATCAACATCAACATGACACCACGGCGCCAGCTGCACGGGCCCAAGGCTGGAGCCGAACAAAACTCCCTGATAACGACTGTGTGATGACTATTCTTCCCATCCCATGCAAGGACACCTGGGTTGGCTGGTAGACTGTTTACTTAGCCTGATAGGGTGAAGGACACTGTCTCAGCTGAACTATGGACATGCACACACATACATTTACACTGATAAGCACTCACACGTCCCCCCTCCCCTTCCAACGCCTTCGATGCTTGTTGCCTCCTGGGAACACGAGGCGGGTCTGGGCCCGCGCTGGTGAGTCGGCGCAGTGGCAGGATGGCTGCTGTGGTGCCTGGGATTACTCCTCATCCCCTACCCAACCCTGTTGCTGGTCACGTGCTCTATAATGTTGTGCTGTGGACGTTTATGTGCTTCCTGTGCAGAGGAGTTTTTTTTGTTTCCTGTTCTCATGCTGTCCTCCTGTAGCCCAGCATGAGCAGAGGTCTCTTTTTTCCTCTTGTACTTTCCCATTGTAGTGTACATTTCAGTGTTTTTCTGTAATGCAACCGTTCTCCGACTTGTATCCCCATGTGACGTCTGTGTGTGTAAGGTCGGGGGGCGGGTTCATTCCACTGCATGTGGCGAATAAAATAAAATTTGAACTTGAGTATCTGTGGCAAGATCTGAAAACTGCTGTTCACAAACGCTGCCCATCTAATCTGACTGAGCTGGAGCTGTTTCAAAGAAGAATGGGCAAAGATTTCAGTCTGTAGATGTGCAAAGCTGGTAGAGACAGACCCTAAAAGACTGGCAGCTGGAACTGCAGCAAAAGCTGGTTCTACAGAGTATTGACTCAGGGCTGAATAATTACGCACACCCCACTTTGCAGTTATTTATTTGTCAAACAAGTTTGGAGTCATGTATGATTTTGGTTCCACTTCTCACGTGTGCACCACTTTGTGTTGGTCTTTCACCTGGAAGTCCAATAAAACTGATTCATGTTTGTGGCTGTAATGTGACAAAATGTGGGAAAGTTCAAGGGGCCGAATACTTTTGCAAGCCGCTGCATGTTTGAGTTCCCGTCTGTGTCTTTCGGTTCTTAGACCTCTGCTTTATGGTTTATGTCTCTGTGTTTCTTAGTTGCTGTCTCCACTGTGTCAAGTTCGCGTCTCTGTGTGATCCTTCCTGTTTTACTTTGAAGGTCCGTGTCCTATGAGAATGTGTCCTGCTTTGCTTGTCTCGTCAGTTCTGATTTCTCCCAGCTGTGCCCTCCTGTGTCTCATTCCCCTTGTTACTTCCCAGTGTATTTAAACCCTGCGTTTCTCTGAGTCAGTGTCGCGTTGTCCCTCATGCTGTGTGGGTCTCCCTGTGTCTCTCTGTGGGTTTAGTTTGTGAGTTTCCGGTTTAGTTTGCTTCGTATGACTTTCTCCTGCCAGCGAATAAAGCTGAGTTCTTTGTGTTTAAACCTCGTGCTTGCATTTTGGGTCCAACTCCTGCCTGCCACACAGCGATTCATGACAGATATAGTATTTACATTAGCTCATATATATGTTTATTTGCCATGTCTCAACACAAATAGTAGTTTAGCCAGAGCAGCATTTCCCATTTTCCAAATACACCCTGGTAAAGAAGGCCAGCAGCAGCTGCACCTCCTCCGTGTCCTGAGGAAGAAGAACCTGGACCAGGAGCTGCTGCTGACCTTCTCCCCTCCTCAGTGGAGAGCGTGCTCTCCTCCTGCCTGGTGTTTAAACTCAGGGTCCACGACTGAGCAGGAACGCTGGGCAGAGGGCTGTGTCAGGTAAACCAGGGCCATTACAGTATATATAAACCCGTGTTATCTGAGTGACGTTGACCCTGTGAACTGTATGCAGTGTGTCTGACTAATGTATGCAGGTTACATAATGTCAGCTGTATCACAGGCCTTCAGACCGCAGCGCCAGTCCCCGACGAGTCTTGCTCTTTGTCTTCTGTCAGAGACAGTTTAACTGCAGGACTCATGTCTGAGGAGCAGGTTTCATG